ATGAAGAGAAGCAAATCGTGGGAGCAAACCGATACGGAGCTGCCGGTAAACCCGGGCCCCCGGACGGCCATGTCTCTTCCCCTCCCGGACCGTTCAATCCTCAAGATGAGTGGAGCAGGGCACCGTGACCGTCCACAAAGTCTCCGGGTCATCCGGGTGGGCTAGGCCATTGAGTGTCTGGGCGACCCTGACTTAGCATGCTTGCTAAGTCACTAACAAGTTGGAGGCTTGCCAAATGAGTTCCCCAATAAGCTTCAGTGCTCCGAAGTTTAAACTTAATTGAGCTCATAAGAACCTAGCAACAGCCAATGAGACAAGTCATTTGCGACAGTGGTGCAACGTTATGATTGGTGTGATTTCCCGAAAGCGTCCATGGCCAAGGGGGCCGGTTGATGGAAGGGGGAAACAAAATAAAGATGGTGGCGCTCATACTGAATGTGATAGTTTGAATCGGGGAAGTGGTATGCCACCACGGTCGCAGTGCCATGTATCCGTAGCGCAACAAGCTTTCAGCTTTTCCCCTCTCGGGGTCCTCTTTGTTCCTTTGCCTCACTCTTTACTCTTCTGCTCTCCTCGCTACAACTTCATCCGTGCTGTCGCAAACATCGTCTCTTCGTCGATGCTTCCTCATTGACGCGCTCAGACTACGCACGACACGTCTTCCCGTCTTCGAAACACAGTCGCCATGAGATCTTCCGCTGTAGTCGTCGCGCTTGCCGGCTTTGCCGCCGCGCAGCAGAACGCGCTACCCACGTGCGCTGTACGTTCCCCCTGGTCCTACTGATTTCTCTCGTTTGCTAGAGTGCCAAAGATGCTCATAGTCGCCTGTGATTCGTGTGCTAACGGCCGGATTGCGAATGAATAGCAAGGCTGCGTGAATCAATACACTACTGGCAGTGGCATTGCCGGCTGCAGTCAGATCGACGTCAAATGCATCTGTTCCAACTCTGGCTTCCTCGACGGCATCGCATGCTGTCTCGCCGGTGCCTGTCCTCAAGCCGACCAGGACACCGCCGTCAAGTACGCAAAAGACATCTGCACCGGAGCAGGCGTCACCGTCCCCGATCAAGTCGTCTGTAAGAGCGCCAACTCGACATCATCAGCCACTGCCTCGCAAACGACCGCCTCTGCGACCGGAGCTACGGCGTCCGCCTCTGCTACCAGCACACCGAATGCTGCGCCTACAATGGGTCCGGTTGCGTTTCTTGGAGGTCTCATTGCCGCCTTGGTCGCATTGTGAACTTGGATTGGAGCCGGGTTGGCGGTTGTAGGATAGTGGTTGGGAAGTCCGTACGAAACGGTGGACGGGCTCGGCTGCGCATGCTGCTCTCTCTCTGGTAGCTTCTGGAACGGACTCGAATGATACGGTGTTGTAATTTTCGCGTCAGCTGAATAGTTGTAAACATTTTATTTCAACTTCACAAATATCAACCTCGCGTTGAACATGTGTCAGGGTGAGATGACGGCGAGAAACATGCGTCGCCATCACAGTAGAGCAGAAGTCACGGGACGATGACGTTGGGATGACGGACCGTCATTCGTTATATCAGATGCTGGTTGTCTGACATCTGAGTGGCTCAATCGAGCCGAAACATCTTCCGGCCGCGCATGTGGCTAAAGGGAGCTCATTAGCATCAAGTGTTGAGAGTCGAGACCCCTAGACCCTGTACTGGACGACAAATATCTGCCGAACGGCCAGCGAGGATGACGTGAGGAACGTCTGTGAGCCTCAAACCGTCCGTTCACCGAGCTTGTTCTGTGCACTCGTTCTCAAGCTGCATGATTTGCTCCAAGATTATTTTGGGTTCTCGATGAACCTTCTTCCAGGGATCTCGAATGTGTCCAAAACACCCTCGGGCCCCTCAAGTAAAATAGTCATAGAGGGGAAGCAAGCGGTGAGCGTGTTTTGGTATGATCGCCTCCAACCCAACTTGACTACGGAGTACAAGGTTGCTTCAAGACGACATCAGGTGACTAGGCTCAAGGGTTGAACACATTATGATTCGCTACCAACTTCGCGATTGAGCAGATGCACAGAGTTACTGCCGGTGGTGACTCAGGACTAGGCTTACAATTAAGTTGCTGCCGGCCGTCACAGATGAGCGGACAAGTCCCCATTTGAAGGTGTCTCCGAATGTTGAAAGTTCTGCCAGAAACGCGGCAACAGAGAAAGCTTGAGAAAATAGCCGCGTCTTTCAGCATGATGCTCTTAGTGACCGGGAGACCCCGTCGACGGAGATGAGGCAGTCTTCTTTGCCGTCTCCGCCGTTCATGAGATGGGATGTTGCGATGGAACGGTAGCAGCCATTACGGTGAAAGTAGATCGGGCTGTCTCCAGTTTTTCCGCGCCGTGTACAAATATATCAATACGAAGGTCGTTGGGAGGGGAAACGTGCTTCTTCCGTGACCATGTCCGGACGTCGTCCCGACTGAGCGATACCTTATCTAGACCAAGATATACTATCTTATCTTATCCAGTGCGAGTTGCAGATCCATGGCAGAGAGGCTCTTGGTACAGGGTCGTCGGGAGACAAGTCCAATCAGTGCTGACAGCAACAAGACGAGGCCGAGATTGTTTTCCGGCATGGGGGCCGGGTGGGGATATTCTTCGGTCCGTCGTTGCCACAAACACTGTCGTGCATACGTCTCCGCTACGTGAAGGGTGCCTTCGGACCCCGGGCCTTGACAATGGTAACCTCGCGGTGATGGGATTTCGAATTTTCCAGGATGTTGTCGGCCGCCGACGATAAATGGCAGGCATGAGCAGAGGCTACACCGTCAAAGACTCGGCCCGCGGAGCTTGCATCCCCACAGAGGCACCGACAAAGCAAGGAAGCCTTCCACCCAGCCGAAGAGCAGGCGATGCTCGACAGACATGAGCCGCGGTGACACGCAACCACTGCCGTCTGCAATTTGTGGGTCTAGTTCATCGACCTTGTGAGCCGGTTGGAGCTACGCGCGTTGGTGTGAAAACGTCAAAAATCGCCAGATATCTCAATCTGGTATAGGGAGATGCCATGGGGGGGCGTGAGGCCAGAAGTCAAAGTACGTGCGGTCTGGTGTGAGATTGGTAGCATGCCCAAGGTGAATGGTACTACCTGGACTTTGGTGTCGTGCCGTGGTACGTTATCAATTTCACAACAGTGCGTCGATAACCCACTTCTGCCTCTCATCTGCAACTTTGTTACCGACATCGACTCGAGCCTTCGTATTCCGGATATCCAGGCTATGCCTATGTATGTAGAGACTCTGCGGAATGGAGACGCACCCCTCCTCTCTCGCTTCTCCTCCATAAGGCGAGCATGGCTTCGAGGTCGAGCGGTCTCTGCAAGACTCTCCACTTGCTGTCAGGCTTTTTTTGGGTTAACCCCGGCGCAAGCATCCCTCATAATACCCCTTCTAGTCGATAGTTGCGAGCATGGGACAAGGAGACTTTGCCCGTCGGGTACCTGTCAGAAAGGACTTGGAACCACCATGATTCGCCCAAATTCCGATTGATGCGATCATCCAGCTTTGGCAGCCGCCGTGCAGGGAGCTGACAAGGGCAAGGGACAGGGAGATCGGATGAGGAATTTGGGGTTGTGGTGTGGGGAGTAGGCCGGATGGCGCTTTGATCATTTCGAAGTCTGGTGTGAAACCTGAGGGTGGGTATGTCGACGAACGCTTTGACGGTGACTCCTGGCTCTCCGGCAGGGGAGAGCAGCAGCTCAAGAGCTGCAACGAAACATGAGTGTGAAGAAGGTCAATGGTTGCCAAGGAAGCCAGAGTGCAACGAGCGACGCCCGCACTCAACGGGGAAGATCGAGGCGATGGCGAGGTGCAAGTATTACTGGTTTTCTTTCAGGTGCTGGATATCATGGTGCGCGTTCTTGGAAAGAAGATGGAGGGGCTTGCGTAGTTACTGTTTGCAGGGCGCCCCCCCATTGGTGGGTGCAAGATCGTCGAACGTATTCCGTCGTCCCCGAGGACCCATCTATGTATCTTGGGTTGGTGGCTCTTCTCGAGTGGGAATTGTGGCTGTTAACCGGAAGCAAGCTCGATGAAGAACATGTCCATTGACTGGGAAAACAACGGCTTCGCCGCTTCGCCGTACGTTCCGATTGCTAGTGTACTGTCAAGCTCCTGACCCGTCAGCCTTCCCTGCTTCACGTTACGTTGGGCAACAGACAAGGATCCATGGCCTCGAAAGACTGACCTTCGGGTAGCCCTGAATTTCGGTAGGACGCCTTGTATAAAACGCTGTTGCACATCAGGCACGGGATCTGCTGGCCTGCCCCAAGGTCGAGCTCGGAGCTGGGCAGGACGGGCGTTCAGTGTTTCTGCGAGAAACCAGTCGGAAGGTCGGAACTTTTCTGCTTCCCTGCTGCGTCATTGTTTGTCTTGGAGGCCTTCGATGCTTCTCTATTAGCTATCCGTACGGATACTCTCCATCTCTCCTGTGTATCCGTACCGGTCCAAACCACGCCCCCTGTCCAGCCGAGTGTAAATCGATCACATAATGCGTAGAAAGCGGTTGCCGGTTTGGCCCGCTTCGCAATTGCTAGTGGGATAACAATGTATTGTTCCACCAAAGTCGGCATATTCCAAGACCATCGCTGTCATGGGGTGAGACATGCTCGAGCTCGTGGGCTAGTAGCCACAGCGTCCTAGGAGGTACGGATGCTCTGTACATTACGAGGCGTGGCTACCTGAGGAGAAGAAAAGATGCAGGGTCATCATCTGTCAAATCCCATACGCCCCTCCCTTGGACGATGATTCTGCACGCCTGGATCTGGAACCAGACTTTTTAGGATTTTGGCAGGCCAGCCCGAAGCTCGGCAATCCGTATGCGGCTGGCGTCCGTCTCTCTGGTACGACGTGACCTGTTGCAATTGTCCCCACGCAAGCCAGCAACCGTCCCATGAAGCTGGTGTTGTCTGTGTGCGGTCGGATAGGCACTAAAAAAATGGACGAGGGCCTTGCATTTGCGTGGATGCCACAATAGCAAGCAATGCCCCGGGTCAATCATTGAGTTGATGGCGCGTCCTGCCGCTTTGTGCCCTTCTCCATCGTCGCTTTGTGCCCCTCTTGGGAATGTCTAGTGATTTCCGTTCTTCTACCCGTACGGAGTACACCTGCTCATCTCCGATCTGTCCCAGATGAGATCGGCTTGCATCATGAACAGCATACCCTGGCAGAAGTTGTTCACTGACGTTGACCGCATCAAATTGAAGGGAACATACATTGTCCTCCCAGACACCATCCAGAATAGGGAGGTTGAGTCGAGATGTCAAAAGAACTTCGGAGCTCTACCAGTGCGGTCCATGAGGTTATTGGATGCGGATTCGAATTTCAACCCTCGACAAAGGTTCTCTCGTTTTGTGTCGTCATAGCGTTACTGGCGTCAGGGGCGTTGAGGACGATTGGACTCGTTCAGTTGGTACGGTGCACGCCAACTCTTCCGTAGGCGACCGGAGTGACATTTCCAAAAGAACGCCTGAGGGGCAGGCTTCCGTGGAGTGGGGGTCTAGCAAGCCACTGATCACTGATCCGATCATCCACGAGCACAGTCCCAATGTCTCAGACATGTTGTAACTTGTATCCCTAAGGATTGTCAGGTATGCTCATCTGTCAAGCTCTCAAGCGATATCAGAGTCAGACAGTCAGCCCAGGTGGGTGGCTGAAGGATGTTGAGTTCTTTCGACCTTGACGCCTTGTCGTGGCGCCCAGTAGTAGGAACCGCGGCTCCGCCCTCCGGCTTCCGTTGACAACGCACTCCACTTTCCGCGAGACCTTTAATCTGCATCTGCGTTCTATTCATACGGAGTAGAGGACTAACGTCGGCATGTTGGCTGACCTGCCAGATTATTTGTCTGAGGTCCAGTGCCCATGTATTCGTGTCCCGAGCCGCATGGTGTGCATGTTGACGAGGTGGACCTCACAGGGCAAGCCGGGGTCAGCTTCCGAGTACCGTTCCATCAGACACCGCTGTAAATAGACGTTTGGTGATGCGATTGTCAACACAGCAGTGGCCTTAACAGACAGAGATATAGTGCAGGCAAGGGCGTCAAATGAGTTGATGTGGGCCACTGGAATACTGGGTGCGCCAGAAACCATGGCATGGGTCGATCTTGGTTCAGTGGTTGCAAAGTGTCGATAGTACAATCCAATAATTGGCATGTTATTGCATTGGGGATTGCGGCCGAGGGCCAGATATTGGCATGAGCTTTCGAGCATCTCTGTCACAGACGGACGGTCCCTGCGGGGTGTCACATCGTAGACACGGCGACTGAGACGACAAAGACTGCCCGCTTTCGACTCTACTGATCGTTTTGCCAGCTCGTACTTTCTGTTCAGGACGCTCCAAAGGGGATAGCCGGTGTCACGATCTTGCTTTCGTCCACATTTGGCATCGGATCCCCATTGCGGTCTCCATGGCATTTGGTATCGGGCTGTTGACCTGGCACATGAAGCCTGCATGGTGTTGCACTCAACCATGTCCGGACCTGGCTCCGGTGTGCTGTACAAAGGGAACGTCCGATGGACAGGTAGGGTGTCTTGATGCTAGTAGCACCAGCTATAACGCCGTGGCAATGACTATCCTTTCACAGCGGCTCCAGTATTATCGATACCAGTGCGAGAATGGCTGCGTTGGGTGTTTGACCTTCTTGGCCAACATCGTCTGGGGACTAATAAACATTACGGAATGCCGACAGGTACGTCGTCCCAGGGAATTCTACCTTGCAACTTGGTTGTAGAAGACCGCTGGATTTCTCGAAGGGCCCGCGCCAAAGGTGCATGTTGGGCTGGTGTTACCAGAGAGGCCTTGTTAGAGCAGAGCTACTGATGAGATCGAGTCGCCCATGCTCTGGCTGGTTTCCGTCTTCAAGGCATCTCAGCTATGGCACAGCCAATGCAAACAGCCCCGGCGAGCAGGGCCAGGTCGTAACAGAGCAAAGCAGAAGTGTGAAAGATTGAGCGACGTTATGGGGCCCGAGGTCCAATCTCCTGCAATGGATGCAGTGTAACCGTGTATGCCCGGGATCGCACTGGGCGAATGGTGGTCAGTAGCAGTCTGAGCCTCCGGAAAAGCCACCTCTGGGAGAAAGCGACGTCGATTGGAGGCAGCAAGTAGCCACCTATCTGTCAATACTATCTGGTGGTACGGGTGGCGTGTCCGTGACAGGGAAGATTGAATGCCACCCTCTTAGTACCAAAAGGAAAGCAGATGTGTGTGACGATGGAATGCGAGGTGCCGTAACAGGTTGACTTGGTTCGTAGACAAGAACCAGAACAAGGCCAATGACAAAAAGTGTGAGTGGGTGCTGGCAGGTGGGCTGGTGGTGCTTTGACCGCGAAACGACGAAAAGAGCCGACGTGGATTCGGGCCTGCTGCGACTGACTCTATCCGTGAAGGTGACGGGACGGAAGAGGGTAAACAACGAGTAAGCCAGCACCAAAGTCGTCAGTCAGAAGAGGGCCGGCGACGGGGGACGGGAGACGGGGTCCGGGGGCGTCGGTATACCGTCTTGGTGTGGGCGTCTCTCAATCGAGATGTTGATGTGTGGAGAGGCCGGGCGTTGCGCGGAACATGTTGGGCATAAAGAAGAGAAGTGAGTCTGTATGCCAGGGGCACGGCTACAGTCTTTCCCCCTAAATTATTCATACATCGGTGAAGCAAAGCGTGAATTGGCTGATATTTCTTTCTCACGGCAATCGGAGCCTGATACGATTCGAGCGCTTTCAGCCCAGTGATATGCTAGTTCGCTCGGCGTGATAATAAGGTGGAGGAGGGAAGGGAAAGCGATCTAAGGACAAGACAAACTCTGATGAGGGGGTTCTGGAAACCAGGGGGGAAGAAGAAAGAGGTGGTGTGTATGAGCGTGTTTGCTGTGGCCTCTTGTGCTTCGGATTGAGGTTGAGTAGAGTATCGAGTGTTGAGTCGAGCGTCATGTCGTGTCGGCACATGGGTTCATCATTCATGGGGAGCAACACTGCAACAGGCACGGGGCCAATCTAAAGGGAAGGTGCCCTGCATGGGTCTGCTCCTTCTGGATGGACCATTACCTTGACCAGGGCCCTGTATCACGAAGTACGTACTCCGTACCTAGCTTACACCTTACACCTTGGCCTTGACCTTGGCTTGACTGGGTGATTGGGTACGAACTACGAGGGCCAAGTACCAGAGGAAGAGCAGTGGGCGCTGTCTTACCTCATCTGTGTGCCATCTATGTGTGCAATGCTTTCCGCGTGGTCCTTTACCGAGGGCAGTCGCGCCTTCTCATGCGCCTGCACCTCGGACTGGGTTCAGATCGCAGGCTGGGGGACACAACGCAGCAACTGCCCATGGCTGAGAGATTTCTTGGTGCGAATTCATGCCTTGGTTGAGCATCAAGCCCAAACGGAGCCAACAGCAATGATGGCCATTGCAGCATTGTAACATCGAAAAAAGAAGGTAAGGGCGGGGCAATATGTTTCCGTTTCTTTGCTTTTCAACTTCATGTTTTCTCCCCATGGACCTCATTGACTCGACGTATGAACCCCTCAAGAGCTCTTCATCCCCGGGGGGCAGCAGCCAAGAAATGCACCCATGTCTGGAGGGTTGCATGAGGGAGAAACGTCGGGACTCAAGCATAGAGCTCGTAGCACTGCACTGCCATTGTACCATTACCATACAGGTCAACAATGGAACTTACAAGCACGTCCCCAACAGCTGTGGCAGCTGGAAGTCACCGCTTCAGTCTCACAGATGATATTTCGGTGTGAAATACCTGGCCATACCTTGTACTTGATGGCTGACCCTGGCGCGAGAGCCTGTCACATATAGGAATACACCTACAGATACATCCCCTTCCTTACCTTACCTACCTTACTAGGCAGATCACACATTAAGAGCTTATAGCTTGCCATCACTGATCAGTACCAAGATTTTCTGCATATAATGTCTGGGGCGTCCAGTGAGAGACATGCGGGCACGGGGCTGAAGAAGGGAAAAGAGCAAGGGGGTGGAGAAGAAGAAAGCGGATGAAGATGGAGATGAAGAAGAAGAAGATGATGATGATGATGGGTGATCCTCCTGAAGGTCCAAGGCCTACAGGTACTCTCCAAACACAAGGCGAGAAAGGAAAACTGCCTGCATAGTTTGGGACGGGAAAAGGAAAGCATGGTGAGGAGGTACCTTTTGCGCCCACCTTCTTGCCTCGTTCCTCCCATGCCAACAATAAGTAATTTGTCGGCAATCAGGTAAGGTACCTTACCTACGGTACCTACCTTACCTTACCTTAGTGTCTGAGTGCCTTCTGATGATGATGATAATTCAGTCACCTATAATCTCCAGAGAAAGCACCTGAGCTAAGGAAGTACCTCAAGGAATCTAAGGTCGGCATGGAAGACAGGCACGATCCGGAATGCCTTCCCTTCCTTCACCGGGCTTACCTTCCCGTCTTCTCGACGAGCCTGCTGCCCGGTCTGCACCTTCCCGGTGTTCCTCCCCCCAACTGCACCTGCCCACCTGCCTCCCGCACCCGCACCCAAGGTAAGGTAAGGTCGCACCTGCACATTGCACATCCCGTCGACTCCACACCCACCTCCAGCTCCTTCCTATCGACATCCGTTCTGCAGTTTCTGCAGTGTGCAGCTACCTCGCGCTACTGCTGCAGAGCACGGCCTTGCCACTGACAATTTTCTCTCCTTTTTCTGCATCTTCATCATCGTCTTCCCTCCCAAATCGTGCCAATTTACGGATACCTTCCTTACCTTACCTTCTCAAGGTAGGGATGCATACGGAGCACACTTTCATCAATCCTTGAGATTGAGAGGCTCAGAGCAGCTGGCCCATGCCCGCGTCTGCCCAGTCACGCCACTGCCCACATCCATTCATATCGAATCTTGCTTCCTAGTATACGGAGTACTGCATTTCAATTCGTCTGTCCGCTGCATATCCTACCAACAGGGGCCTGACGCTGCACGCCCGCCATCTCTTCATCCCTCCTTCATATCATGAGCTGATCCAGGCTTCAGATTCTTGTCTCCTCTTGACTCTGGCCCTGTCTCCGGTCTCTTCCCGAATCGCTTCACTCAGCCGACTACCACCACCATCCCACCCATTCTCCAAGGTGTACGGATAGACTCAGGTCGTCTGTCACTCACCTCTCTCGGCACGGCTTCTTTTTCGTCTTCGCTTCGCTTCAGCATGCTGGTCTCGGCCGTGCTAGGCCTGACATAACACCCCCAAGACGTTGCACTTCGGATCAACTCAAAAGACGTTTCGCTCCAAAACGGGCATGCCCGAGACGCTTTACCGTTCCTTTGCCGATATGTTGACGATACCCTGGGTCCCATCTTCAGCTCTAGACATCGGAAGCCGACTGCCACCCTATGCTCCCACCTTGGGCCACTGCTGCCGCCGCCATTCGGCGCCGGCCATGGCAATAGCGGCGCCCATCATGTCGTCTAGGTATCGTCTACTATAGTAGAGTTTGGACACCGCTTCCATAAGCCACAAAGGAAGGGTGTTACTATAGACGTACCAGCCAACTCTGTGTCGTACGCCGACTTCGCCGACGTTGTTCTCTAATCTCGTCTCGCCTACTCTCTGCCGCAACTGCACAACCCGCTAATATCGACCATCTCAACATTTGCGTGCCTTGAAGCAAATCATCCACACCCCTTGTACGGTACTTCGACTGGCTGGACTCGACATCAGATCCTCAGCAACTCTCTGCTATTGATCTTGCAACAACCACGCCTGCACCCGCGCCATCAATGTCACGCCCTACTTTCTTGCGTCCCTCCACGTTCCCCAACGGCCCCCCACGGCAATTACCCTTTCGCCTTCAGGCCAATTCGTCCATGCTTTCGGGACCGAATTTGTCACGATTCTTCAGTGATGCTGAAAGACACCTACGGGCAGCCAAATGCCGCGTCTCAATATCTCTCCAAATACATTGCATACATACGTCGGTCATCACATTCGCTACTCATCGCCGAGCCAACGTCACTTATAGCCTGTCCTTGTTCAGTAGGTATTCTCTTTTCTGTCACTTGCCTTTTGCGCCGAAAAGCAAATTGGGGCTGGCCTTCGGAGTAGTGGTGAGTGGATGGATGACTCTGAGCCGCAGAGGTGTTCCGAGGTGGAGGCGGAGACACAGCTCACCCTTCGCTCGCTAACCCAGCCCTCGGTGCCTGTGTCTCGGTCTGTTGGGACAAAGACATCCCGCCCTGACACCTCCCGCGAAGAGAGACCAGCTTGGTCAGGTCGGTGCGTTTTACAGGGATTCATGCAATGGGACTACAGACAATACGTGCTTCCAGTACTACAGAGGACCTTGGCCGTCGAGCGACGGCTTCTCCGTCTTTTGGAGCCAAGTGCTTGTGGTGGTCTTTGTGCTGCTACGCATTGTATCCTCCATTTGTTCCGTATGCACTACCGACAACAGAGCATGGCTGATTTGGGTCGCTTAACAACCCGACGTCTGTTCTCGTGGCTCGCGAAGCCCAACCATGTTACAGCAGACGTCGGCAGTGGTCATCTCCCACGTCTTCTAGCCTCTCCGCGGGCGGGGTTGATACCAAAGGCAATCCACGGACAATTGACGCCCGCCAGCCTGCACATCCCATCTGAAGGATATTTCCCACGCCCTTGTTGTCAGCGCAGGACATATCGATGATCCCATCCACTGGTCAAGAGTAGCAACAGGCGGTGGATGCACACCCATATTCCAACGACCGCAACAGTGAATATCACTTGCCAGTTACACCAAGACGAACCTCCGAGCCACAATGCCATAATGTCAGCTCTCACCATTCCCGGCATGCCGTACGAATCAATCAATAAAACCAAGGCTGACCCAGATCTGTTCCAGTCCCTTTGCCCTTCTGGGTGGGCTTCAGAACCTCGATTGTGTCGCTCTTGGTACTTGGAGCCCACCCGTCTCTGCACAGTCCCATCCAGTTCTCCCCACTCTCGTCAGAGGGCGTGGCGATAGCAGATTTACCTTGCAGATGCCACGAGGTGTGCAGTTATGACCAGGGGTCCAGATACCTCCCTCTCATGTATCCCTCTCTCGTCCCCATGCCCCCGTCCACTGTCAAAGCCCTCCATCGCCTGATGGGGGAATTTCCCACCTGTACCCACTGTCACAGACCTGGACCTTGCGAGGCGGAGAGACCTCAACCCTGGACCTCGTCGTCCGTCCGTCCTAACGACCGTTTTTTTGTTTTTTTCTCTCGATGCAAGCGCTTCCGTCATGGCTCAGACATGGACAGGGTAGCTCAAATCCGTTCACAGTTTGTGTAAAACCAAAGCTTTGCGCCTTGCTTCTCCTTTCTCGCAAGGTACCTACCCTACCGCACGCCCTGGCCCTGTGCTCTCGTCTCACTCATATATATCCCATCGGGCCTCGACCAACCACACGTACACACCTTTTTGACAACCAGCCTTCGGTGCCCGAATACAAAACCAGTCTTGACCTCCTATGCTCTCTCAACCTCACTGTATACTCTTCGTTACATGCCCGGCCTGTCATCTCTTCTTCTCTCCTCCGTCTGTTCAACTTCGGACTTCGTCACGACTACATACTAGTATAGCCTGACGCACACATTTTACTCCCGCCATAAGCTATGCTTAGACAGTGACCGCGCACTTCACACTTGGCCACCGACTTCAAAACTATCTACAACTCTGTCTGTAGCATATCAACGGACATAAATTCCAACAATAAACGTAGGTGAAGCTTCCTCAGGGCCAATAATCTAGAGTACTGACGTTCGGAACAGCTTTTCGCCTGGTTGCCCATCATGTGCGACTTTACTAAGAACTACTACATTTACACCTCATGTATCGACCCGGGTGCACACTTCTTCAGAACTTCAGTCGATGGCAACCGGAGTCGTGCCTGTGGCAGTGGTCCACACGAACGATATATCGTAGTCCCAGGCCACTGCCCCTTGTGCAGTGGTTAAAGTGTGACTCCTCGACGAGACGTTTCTGTCAACTTACCTCACTTGGGAGGCCCACAATTTGAATCTACAGCAGAAAACTCGAGTCTGCTGCTTCTCACTCTCACCGGATATCAACCGACGCACCCTCCCTGATGTCACTCTCACCACTTTGGCCTGCTGTGTGCCACGCGGATGTCATAAAACTGGAAAGCTCTACGATCTGGCACCGAAATACGCCTACTTATCTTCTACGCCTAATTCGATTCGGGACATGGAGAGGTACAGGAAGTACAACCAGTCAGCTGCTTTGCCCAATGGGGCGGATCCGAAGCACAGCCAGTGGGCTATCGACGTATTTTGGGGTTTCGAGATGGAGCGACACCAACACATGCCAGGACCGGTGCAGTGGGGTTGTGGAGGGAAGCTGGACTGAGAGTGATGTCGGCACATGCCAGTCTCTCGCAAAACACGGCGACACCCTGAGTCGACTCCAGAGTGGGGAGACTGGAAGGGAGGCTCCATGAGGAGACAGGGGAAAAGCAAAAGCAGAATCACAGCAAGCGAGCACAGCACAGCACAGCATTTGTAGCCCATTCTCCTTGGTCTATTTCTTTGGTTTCCTACATTTCTTTTCCTCTTTGCTTTCTCTTTTTTCGTCTCCTTTGTTTTCTATATTTCATTGGGAGGTCAACATATCGGCATATTCAGCACAGTAGACTGTGTATCCTCGGTTGCGGTCTGATCTGATCTGTGGCGTTTTCGTATTTTTTCTTTCCCCCCTTCTCTGGGCATTGGGAACTGGCGCACAAACATTGGGAAGAAGTATTTGGGAGAAACAAAGTGGACGGACGGGGCAGAGAAGATCTAAGTTGATGGTAGAGAATACTGTCTGTACACACACAATGCTGCTACATGAAGCATGGAATGAAGAGAAAACCAATGGTACCACAGTTTGTGGTGACCAAGCATGTGTCACAACCTGATCCCGTCCCAGCCGAATGTTTCTCTTTCTGTCGTGCGATGCCGTCAACTATTGAAGTGTCAACCTGATAGCCATGCGCCTCTTCCTGCACCACGGCATAGCTGATCACCACGTATCTGGTCATCATTCCATTGCGCACAGAACTAAAATTCCCACCCTCCTTGGCCGATACAGAGTGAAGCTGACTTATTTGACAGCGCTATTGCGTATTATACACACACTCACACGGGCCGCTACCGGTGTAGGATGCGTTCGTTGGCTGGAGCATGGAGGGGGTTCGTCATGAGATCCTGCAAGCTACTCCATACTTGCTGAGCTGAAATGCCAAATACTTACAGTCGTTGTTCCCTCATCGCATCGCCCGGTGCGGACCGGGCGCCGGGCTGCGGCGGGTTCGAGGGTAAAAGAAGCGACGCAGGCATCCGCGCGCGCGCGCGCCCACCGCACAAAAAAAAAGCTAAGGGTGTATAACAGAGCCGCGATATACCCTCTCCACAAACAATGGTTTCTTCTTTTCTTTTCTGCTTCATGCGAGCCGCTGTTGCCCTGCCTGGTCCCCATGTTTCTGGCCTGTTTTGAGCACCCCTCGCTTCCCACTTTTACATTTTGTTGGCTCTATAACCCCTCATCTGTTGTCTCTCGTGGATCTTCGTGGGCGGCACGAGTGCCAATAGATGCCATGTTTTGCAGGCTGACTGGGTTGCAGAAGCTATGGATCATCTCTGGCCCCAGCTCAACCTCTCCCATGCTCCCATGAAGCAAGTGATGATTCGCAGAGTTCTCTGAACACGTAGATATAGCTCGGCGATCGTGTCCATAGCTCCCGCGGACGATAAGGCGACAGACAGAGTGGTGTCAGCATCCATGTACGTGTCGTTGATGGCTTGCAGCCCCCCGGGTGGAGACGGCTACCGCGCCCTCCTTGACTGGGTGTCTATGTCCCATAATATCTGTAATTCCTCATGCAGTCAGACGCTTTGATACACACAAAAGGAGGATTACTCGCTAAGCTTCGTGTCGTACGGGTGCTCCCTCAACTGCTACATGGCCCCCGCCCTCCACTCCGGTCTGCTCTTGTGATAGTGTCGGAGCCTTATTCACGTTATCCGTGGTAAGATCGCAATGGTCTCAGCACCATGCCTTGAGGCAATGCGAGACTGTGTGCATACAGGAAGCTCGATCAGCTGGCGATGTGGCCATTCCGGTGTGGAGATACTGCATACGGTCGTGTCGAGGAGGCGTTTTAAGGCATAAGGTTCTGTGCTTGAATACTATGCGAAGTGAGCAACTCAGCGTAACTTCGCTGACCAGTAAGAAACTTCTCAAACCCATCTTGAGCTCGCTCCCTCGCCACGAGCACTCTTCGCCAGCTATACGCGCCACACTTCATACTTCGAGGAGGACCGAGTCTTTGGTATCCCGTCATTCTCATGGCAAGTCCGGACCCTTCGCGGGCGCCATTTTGCAGATCAACCACGCAGGTGACTCAGCCTGTCATCCAGTTTGACTGTAAGATTGTGTTTGTTCCGCCGTGGGGCTTCCAGGTTTGGTCAATTCTTAGGAAGTCGCTGAAATCCTAAACGGCGGTAAAGCTCCTTCAAAGTCGATCAGTTCCGCAAAGAGATACAATACGATACGCCGCACTGAGTCGTACGAGAAAGTCTCTGTTAGTGCTAGATGTCGATCAAGTACACCGACTCGTGCCTCAAGTCTAATAAGCATGCATCGTGACGTCGGCTTCGAGATTCAACGGACGGGGGTTCAATTGTGGAAGGCAGCGGGTCGGACTGGGTCTAAGTTTGACAGAGAGACCTGGGGAGGCACGCTATGCGAGCCCTCACGAGCAGTATTTGCGCCGAATGTGGCATCTGGAGCTCCATGCCAATCTCTTGTTCAAGCCCCGACCCTGCTCATGACCCTCCAGGTACGAGTTTGAATACATAGAACGACACATTGTCCAAGTCGGTTATTCAAACAATGTTACATCTGGTGGGCTATGTTCAGTGTGTTCTGGGCCGGTCCGTGGTCTCGGGACCGAAAGGGCGGCCGCTAGCATTTGTGATGTGAAGCAAAGTCCCAAAACGGCGCCGTCTCCGGGTCCGCAAGCGACGTCGCATTGCCGATACGGTATAGTGGTCTGATGCTGCTGCCCTACGCAACTGTCCATGGGCGTCCCTGGGCTTGCATTTGATCGACCCGGCTCTCCGGACCCGTTGCTGGCAACCACCCCGGCGACACGTTGCGAAGGTTCCCGTTTACCCCGAGGCCAATGGCCGACAGAGGGTGCCGATTCCATGTCGGGGTTGCTGGTCGTTTAACCCAGTGGGATATCGTATGTTGCTGTCGCACCAGCCGAGTTGAGCGGATCAAGAAGTTCAGCAAACACCCCGTCCTTGTCCCCCGAAACCTTCCTCTGCCATCTGGCCATTTCTGCCGTTTTGCCTTTGGAAGAACCCTTGTTGTCCGCTTTGGCCCTTCTGGCGGGGGAAAAACCTAGAAAGTGATTTGAGGGCCATTGTCCCCCCATTTATCTCAATTTGCCGTGGAGACTCGGTGCCGGGGTAAACTGCCGGCCTTATCCTAGATGTCTCCGCCGCCTTGTCATCCCCTCGTCCTGGCACTGAGCCGATCACGACGGTTCGCACCTGTCAAAACGGTGTAGTGGAGGCTGCGGTAGGACACTTGCTCGTATGATGCTAGCGAGTCAGCCGAATGATGTCAGGTCGGGATGTTTGCGCCGGATGGTTGCGATTTCTTCTTCCAGAATTAGTAGCCGGGATCGTGGTGAAGGTCGGCCGATGGCACCATGCCGACAACCTCCCCCGCAACCTTTCGGCAACGGCCCAAGGGGCAAAGAACCATCAGGAACTCAGGAAGCCAATAAGCCGACCTCCTCGGGCTTCTAGGTCGGCCGGCGCACGTTCGGTTTCGCAACGTGCGCTCCAAGGACCGGCCGCCCACCATCCAGGCCCCAGGATGTGCTAGGAGCCGCTGCTCCGGGCTTCGGACCTTAATTAGACGGGGTCAGAGCCTAGAGGGAGCTGCTGTGTCGAGGATCAAAGAAGACGGTTGTATTTTTCTTCAGTGGTGAATGGTCAGCAAGCCCCTTACCCAGAACCAGGGTGCCGGGTGCCACATCGGACCCAGAGTAAATGTCAGAGTTAGTGAACCTCCGCTTTGCTACACTGGCGGCCGACATTGGTGACAGACATGCAACATGACAAGTCTGCTGTCAAATCTCAGGTTCTCGACCGCCGATCGATGGAGCGGAGCGGCACTAGTGGAAGCGGGAGATTGCATCGCTTTGACATAGGGTCGGGGCTCAGTTATCGGGATCCAGAAAACAGCCTAAAAACTGCTGTGAATATTCCCAAAGAGCTCTAGATTCAGCTGGTGAAGGCCTACGCCCAGCCGGAGATGTCCTTGATCGTCCAAGTCGAGACGAAAAGAGGTGTTCAGAATAATCGAGTCGAGGTCCAAATTTCCGAGACGAGATGTTCAGGAGAAATGGGCAGCCGGTAGAGGGTCCACGCCGCTAGGACTGTATCCATGTAAATAGTACGACCGTTAGACTAACCAAGATCGAACCCTGGAAGCACCTAGTTAGCGGGTGTTTTGCAGCGATGGGAATATCCGGCTTTGAGACGGACATGTTGGTGGACCATTGGCCTCGACTGATCCTGAATTAAGGTAAGATATCGGCAGTTGGGTGTGACGAACCGGCAGGGACACTGTTGATGCGAGACTTGCGCGCAATACAATTTCTCTAGATATGTAAGTGGAGGAAGGTATTCCCGATTTTGCGTAGCACCTACCCATCTGTGCAAGTATTCATACTGAAGGCACGTTTGAAGAAGGGACAACAAGTATCCCACGTATACGTACTGGGTACTTCTTAAGGAAGGCCTCGATGGAGAGTATCTTGGATACCTACTTGAATACTGAGCATTCCTGCCAATAGACGAGTAGCACTTGGAACCCCTGCCAGGATTACGCATCTGCAAGTGTCCAACAATGTCAGTCCCCCGCGTACTTGGTATCCTGTGAGCTGCTGGTCAGTCACCAGGTTTATTCTCTCAATCATTGGGCAAGTGACAGCTGCCGTTATGGCGAACATGAAGTCATACAAGACCACGCCGGATGACACACGCTTGCATGAGAACTCTCACCTGCTGTTCTTCTTCTCTTTACTCGTCTTTGATTTCTCGGCCACAGATCTTTCATGTTTGTATTCGTGATAACGAATCTCTACCTGCCGTCCGACCCCGAGGACCCCCACGACAGACACCATGTGGCCTTCCGTGTGTACCTCATGGGAAGGTAGCACACACAGCAAGATCGCGGCGATAAGCTCGCCTTCCATCGCTGGAGGAATTCAGTGGCTGCTTCCTCTGCGGTCGAAGCTGCCATTTGCCTGGATTTCCTATCCGAAGATATGGCTACCTTCACATTCACCATCGGTCTGGAAGCCAAAATTGCTAAAACAACGTCAAGTAAACATCCCAAATGAAGACGTTAGACGAGAAAAGCCAGACATCATCGCCAAACGTAAAGAAGCCCTGGCGTACAGCCGCACGACTCCAGCTTCGACCACATCAGCAATAGAGACCCCATCTCACCACCTGTGCAAGGCAGACGGACTACGGCGGTGAGCACTCACAAGTACTTACATGTCGTCATGTTTCTCCAAAACAATACAAGCAATGGAAGCGGACTAGACCAACCTCCTACCTTAGAGGAGGTTCGTATAGAGAGCGTTGTTATACTTGTTGTATCAATATTGTCGCTTTGTGGTGCCGGCTTCATGATGGCCAGCCATTGGGTCAACCCCCACTCCGAATCACTTAGCAATGTCTAGAAAGCTGACAAGCACTTCAGATCTTCCCAAATCTGCGATCCTTCCGTCATCGCCTTATCATCGGACTTGCGATCAGTGACTTTCTCATGGCTTTCAACTTCATCTGCTCGACAACGATGAATCTTAGCGGCAGACTTATCGATAATCCAGAACAAACCGACTTTTGTAAGCTCAACGGCTTCATGGCTCAGGTATTCGTCATTCAAACCGACTATTGGGTCCTCAACATCGCCATTTGCACGTTCTTCATCCTGACTGACCAAAGAAAGCGAGCCAGCTGGGTGCAGAACCACGAAGTCGTCATTTGGGGACTTCCGTGGTTCTTCTCGGTCTTATGGGCTTCTGTGGGCCTCGGTTTGAATGGCTACCACAGCATCGGGGCTTGTGAGTATTCGTGACCAAGTCAAAGCACTTTCGTGTCATTGACCTTGGCGGGCAGGGTGCTGGTTCAAGTCAGACAAGACGAGGCTGCTCGCCAACTTCGTTCCTCGATGTGAGTCACACACGATATAAACAATGTTAGATCTACGACTAACATGCCCTTAGGGATAATCATAACCATCATGTTTGTGCTATACGCATACCTCGCCCTTGCTCTTTTCAGAGCTCAGAACAGGTTAAGTTCGATGCAGGAGTCTCCCGGGCATCTGGAGTCCGGTTACTCGACACAAGATGGGAGCAGGGCCGCAAGCACTCACGAAGGACTGGAAGGCCAATCTATGATTTCCATCAGAAGGCTCAAAAGGGCAAGAAGAGACGATTCTCAGGGCAGCGAAGAGGTAATGACTGACCGTGCTCCAGATTGCTCGCCTGTTGCTTTTGTATCCGCTTGCGTATGCCATCGTCTGGACTATCCCAACTGCCATCCGGATATACCAAGCAAGTACGAATACGCCAGCACCTTTCCCATTGCAAAACGTCGATCAGGCTTGCATCGTGATCCAGGGGCTTGTCGACGCCGTAATCTACGGTATGAACGAGACTTCAGTAGCAAGCTAGCGCACTTGCTGCTCACGTCGAGGTTTCCCTACCGTCCAAGGGATAGAAACTCGAGACGCGGACATTGCATCACCAGATATTACCAGGGAGCGATCTGCTCGATCTAACGATAGGAGAATGCGTGGAACCACACTATCTAGCTCCGATCCGACTGAAGCCGACAGAGATGACAACCCAAGCTTGGTTGAGTTGAGAGACTTAAGGGCGTAGGCTGCCCCATTGGGGTGGGAGGGGTCTTCTTCGAAGAACTTAGGTAGCTCGGATGAGGGCAGCGGACAACCAACAACACCTCTCGCATTTGCGAGTCCCTAGAATATCTGTAGATATAACATAGTCACTTGGAACGGTGACCATGGTGATGAAGCCGCGTGCTCAGAGGAGGTTCTGGCGCTCTTAAACACTGTGACATGGGACGAGTTCCTTGGGTCGCACCCTCTACGCAGAGCATACTCATCACAGGGCAAGGAATATGGGTAGTCTCTTGAGTAAAAGGGTGGTATCAACATCTTATTACTAAGGTAGCTCATGTCCGCTTGGGACTACTATTCACGATACATTCATCGTGTCTCATTATCGATCACAAATCCATCGTGAACACTTGGTCGCACACAATCGTTTCTTACATTACGTGCTTAGTGCTTGGCACCGCCTGTCTGCTCCGCAGTAGAAGCGGCAGGGACATCCTTTGCGATCTTGGACTTCTTGACCAGACGCAGGCCACCGATGAGCATGACGAGGCCGAGGATGCCCAGGATCACGACCAGCGTCACCAGCGCGCCGATGACGCCCGCCACGGGAGTCGAGACGCCTCCCTTGCTACCGCTTGAGCCGGTTCCGTTGGCGTCGGTGCTGCCATCCAGACCCAGGGCCGTGGCGCAGGTGCCGGTGGAGTTGCCGCAGGCTGTGCACCAGGTCTTAGTATCCTCGATAGCGAACTGGCGCATCTGGGTGACGAAAGTGTTCCAGGGAAGCACGGTCTCGGACTGTCCAAAGAGCGGGTAGACGGTGAGGTTGTTGATGCCGGCGGAGCCGTTTGCGAAGCGGAAGCGGACAGCGACGTCGTCGGCGGCGGGGCTGGCGGAGGTGGCGTTGGTGACGAGCTCAAAGACCATGGAGGAAGCGTAGTCGACGACGCTCTGGAAGTCGGCCGAGACCTTTTGCAGCTGGGCGAGGCCGAAGAAGGACGAGAAGCTGGCGTAGGCGCCGAACTGGATATTGGCCTTGACGGAGGAGGACTTTGCTGCGTCCTTGAGCGTTGCGTTGAGGGCCTGGAGGACCTGGCCGGCCAGCACCTTGCCGGCGACGGCGCGGATGGGGTCGCTCTCGTTGTAGGCGAGGTTCCACTCGTGGATGTTGGCGTAGTCGGTCAGCGAGCGGATGGTGGCGTTGGTGAGGAGGGAGTCGGAGGGGATGCTGTCGTTGTGGATCCTGGCGACGTTGATGAGGTCGAAGATGGAGTAGGCGTTCTCAAAGGTGGCGGCCTTTGCGCCGAACGTGCCGTTGATGACGGGCAGCAGGCTCTGGTAGAAGTCGCGGGACTCGGCGTCGACGGCGGCGTACTCGGGCGAGGAGAAGTAGTTGTTGGAGCTGACGACGGCTTTGCCGCAGCCGCTGCCGCCCTGGAGCCACTCGCTGCTCTCGGCGTTTGTGCTGGTGGAGGCCGTGGCGACGGCGTTGACGGGGATGTACTGGTATCCGCCGAGGGGCGCCTCGACGCTGGAGCCGTTGGCGAGGGCCTCGACGGTGCCGGAGGGCGGGTAGAAGCCCTGGAGGAAGGCGTTGGCCGAGGACTGCAGGACGACGTCGGTGGGGGAGGTGACGGAGAGCTGCTCCGGGAGGACGTCGTCGGTGCTCATGTTGCGGATCTGGTGGGTGGCGTTTTCGCGGACGTAGAGCCGGCCGTATTCCAGGCCGGAGGTGTAGACCTCGTAGGCGCCGAGGTCGGTGAAGCGGACGGGAGGCGTCTTCTTGGCTGTGCGGTCGCCGTGGCGGTGGAAGACGTAGATGCCGAGGACGGTCTCTGCGGCCGCGGGCATGATGGGCAGGCCCATTGCCAGGAGGTGCTTAAGTCCCATGTTGGTGATGTGTTGTTGGACTCTGTGAGAGTGTCAGCTCTGCTGTTGATATCGATGTCCACTGGCTACAAGAGTTGATGTATGCACGAAAACACTAAGTAGAGCCCTCCACTTACTCGATATTAACCAATTGAACTACCAGCAACTTGCTGCACACAAGTCGAGTACCCACCGAAGTGTGAAAACGGCCGGTGAGATAAGCTTAAAGCCGGGTTGCAATTCCTGTAAATAAGAAAAAGCAATAAAATTAACGGCCCGTCAGCAGTTCAGATAAACCTCACGAGATTTGAAGAGACTAAGACGATCGGGAGTCTCCTCGAGTCCCCTCGCGCAGCCGGGTACCGCCGGCCCTTTTATGTCACAGCCGACAGTCGGACTTTTCGACGCTTCAAGAAGTTAGAGTCGCCTTCAAAGAAATCCTGCAGCCCACACATGGTTCAGCGACAAATGTTCCATGCCTCCTCCCCAATCCCTAGCATGGTTCGACCCGCTTCATTGCTCTGGGCCAGTCGATGGTTGGCGATAAAGGAGGGGTAACAAGAGAAGGGTTCAAATAAAAACGCACTAGACCCATGGATCAGCATCCACCGGGCCAGGTCCTATCACTCTGCAGTCAAAAAGTACGATTTCACTGCAACCGTGGGCGGCGCGAGCGGGTGAGTCTTGCTGCTTATCCGCATGGCGGGCGACGGCGGGAATGGATGGATGCCACCACCATGCCACTCACGTCTGCGTAGCAATTCGTGTGGCCAATTAGTCAAGGTGTTCCTGAAGGCTCCGCCAATGGTAAGCTATCACCTGCAGGTCGAGGGATGTGGATGCCGGCTTGGCTCGAAAAGCTTGAGTGCGCCGCACCCTGTCCGGTCTTTGGAAGACGCTAATTAGTTGGCTTGGTGACCGACCCGGTAAGAAAAAAGTGTGTTCGGGGGCAGCTTTGCAGCAGCAAGCATCTCCGCTCCCGTCCGCGGGGCGGCTCGGCCTGTCGGCGGCTGGGAGATATGAATCTAAGTAGCCTGAGTAGAATTGTGGTGCCGATAGCCGCTTTGCTCAAGGATCGGAGGTTCTGATTGATAAAACGTGAGGTAGGATTGTACAAAATGTCAAAAGATCCGGGACATTTCTGTAAACGACTATGATTCATTCAATACAGTGCCATTTCCTACGGTTCTTCAATATATCTAACAAGCTGAGCGGGTCAACAGCCACGCCCTTGCGATGTCAACTTACAATCTCTCTACCCCCGGTCGATGGAATTCCTTTGTCCGCGGACTTGCTGGAGGTGATCCTCCCTACCCCACCACGGCTGATTTCTCGATGTCGATTACAACTTGGACTCCGTCTTTCGGCCGCTCTTTACGTGCTTTGAGATTTCTCCCTTCAGAAGGAAATCCGGGTATTGCATGTCGTCGTCTGTTCCAACCGCTAGTGCACCCTGGCGTCTCCAAGCACCGCCGTCAACAGGGATTGCTTGACCATTGACGAAGCTGCCGGCATCGCTGAAGAGGTAGACGGTGGAATCGGCAATGTCCCGGATGACGCCCCACCGACCCTGCGGCACCACGGCGTTGGCCTTGGCCTGGTCCTGCTTGCTGCTGGACAGCCGTTGCATGCCCTCCGTATCCTTGATCGGCCCGGGGGCAATCACATTGCTTGTGACTCCGAACGGGCCATACTCCAACGTCACCGAGGCCATGAGAGCATCGACGGCCGCTTTGGCGGCTGAGACATGTGCTTGCAGCGGCATACCTGTCCAGTGGAATGTGGCAGAGACGAAGATGATGCGGCCTCCGGTCAGGCCGTTTTGGCTGGGCGTGGGATTCTTCTTTGCCGACTCTACCAGGTAGGGAATGGTAGCCTTCACAGTGTTGAAAGTGCCCAAGACATCAATATCGATGACCGCCTTGAATGCATTGGGGCTCATGCCGGACAAGGGTGCGATGAAGTTGCCAGCAGCTCCCGCACTGTTGGTAATAAGGTTGTCAGCAGTCTACCCCAGGATGAGACCCTTGTGAATCGGGCGCTTACATGACGAAGTCGATGCCGCCGAGCTCCTTGGCGCATCGATCTGCGGCGTCTTGCAGGCTTTGGGGCTAGATATAAATTGTTAGCCGCAACATATCTTGAAGGAATGCATGTGGATGAGCATATACATTTCTGACATCACAGCCGCCGATACCAATGACCTTTGCACCAGGCCTGGCTGTGGCTATGTCCTTTGCCATGGACTCTGTCTTTTCGACATTGCGGCCGATGATGCAAGCATTTGCTCCTAGGCGGACAAGAGCACGAGTTTGAGCACTGCAAATGCTTCCAGCGCCGCCGGTGACAAAGGCGACTCTGTTGTCTGCACAAGAGAATTAGTATTGACGGTGCTGGTAAGGTGGCAGCAGACAAAAGACTATGTGCGAAAGTCACTCACTAAAGATGCCATCCTTCCAGACCGGACTCAAATACTCGGACTCGGGAATAGGCATGTTTGCAGGGACCAGATGTGGGTGATGAGGGATGGGACAGAGACAATGAACAAGGTATCACAGGTGGTTTGAGATGATGACGTGTGGGACCCTGTTTCCACAAGATTAAGGCGATAGATGCTGATTGTTTGGGGACCCTGACGATGGATGTTTGGTGGATCCGTTGGCTGCACAAAGATATCGGAGGCTACACGAATGTCGAACCTTTATGTTACACGATGAAGAAGAAACCAAAAAGAGTCCGGTTGGTGCGATGTCTTGTTGTGCAACGGCCACGGCAAAGGCGCAGCTCAGATGGCAGGCGGTGGTAGTGCGTCGGACCTTGGGACCTCGGCAACGGAAGGTAAGGATAGACACCAAGTGCGGAGCCTTCCGCGGCATGTCAAACCCAAATGATTAGTTATTCCGCTGCTGACTCATCCAGAGCTTGGTCACGATGGGATCACGGGGAAACCAAAGACACAGGTCGGGGAAGGAGCTGCTGATTGGTGGGCGGGGGAGAACAGAGGAAAGAGAGCACCAGTTCTCTCCTTCCAGCCTCCAAACGCACCTAACCCTCCCGCACGGGGTCTAATTTAGCGCGATTTCCTCATGTCGCTCGGAATCGACGACCGTCTCCCCGTAAACACCTGCCCCAACCGTTCCCTTCAGACCGGGCAAGCTCTACCACGCCACCTCCCTTCAAGTGTTGGTTGCCTCTATGTATTGCTCGTTGGACCGTTTCGTCACGCAATTTGAATTATGTTGGAGGTTATCTGCTCAGTACACAGTCCATTCTGGATGATATGACAATTCAGTATCGAAACCTAGAGGAATGCAACCCATGGCGTCTCGGTTCTGCAACTTCTTCAACGCTGCTTTCCCAAGGACATGGTGGTGGGAAGGCCTCTCTCAAACCCCTTGCAATTGAGTTATGAGCACATGCTGTGATCGGCCTGTTTCGCTAGGGGGCAAGATAATGATGGCAGATGAGTATCCGCGCCTATCAACCGGTGCTTTCCTGCCTACCTCTGTGCCTGGTAAGGTAGCGATAAGAGCAACACTCGCCACGTCGCATGACCCAAAACGAGAATACGTGAAGATATCCTGTCACAACATCGTCTTTCTACCACGCCTAAGTATGCAGCGGCTCGAATCCGCGGCTCGGCGAAGTGAAACGATTGGATACCACAGGGGAACCTATCCCCAGTACTGATCCGCCAAGCACCCACAGGGCCTATGACTGTCGTATATCCAACCTATGGATCTCATTGCAGAAATCATACGTCCGAGAGTGATCTTTCGGGAAGCAGAAAGTTCGTCTCCACGAGCAAGCTGCATCTGTGCCACCAACATGCAGAATATATTCCCAGCCAAAGAGAGGGGTAAAATGAGCGCCCTCAGGACTCATAAAAGTCGCGAAAGAGCACTGGGAATGGGCAGAAATGATTTCTTCAGAATTGAGCAAACCTGCAAACTTTCAGCAGGCGTCTGTGTGAGATCTCACTATGAGTAACGCCGAGACCGATCGCCCGGTGGCCGCAGGCCCTGTCATCGTCGCTGAAGAGGGGGTAATACAACATGAGCACCCACACTGGACCGATTGATTCTGATTGCACGACTAGGAATGGGATGATAGTTCTTCAGACCACGGATCTGTAAGCAATACCTCTGATCACTTGAGACTATTCCCGGAAGCTTGACTGATAGCCACCTCAGAGCTTTGCATCGTCGACCACCAGCTTGAATAGCTCCATCTTCCAACATCGACTTGAGAATGGCAGAACTTACCACAAGTATAAAGATGGCAGTAAGGCGCCGGCCACAAGGCTCATAGGTTGTAAATAGTGAAAATACTGATATGTACAGAGTACCATTGGCCCAACGACGAGAAAGAATCCGATAGACTGGGTAAGCGTCATTATCTAACACTTGTGTTGTGAACTCGTCTAACACTGCATCTAGACCTGCAGCACAACCTGTTTCTTCTTACATTTCACTTCAAGCTGGGACTCGCCCCGCCCAGTGCGCAAGATTCTGGCGTCAAGCGCGTACTTGACGTCGGCACTGGCACTGGTCTTTGGGCGATCGAATTTGCAGATGAGCACCCTGGGGCTGAGGTACGCAGAAAAACCCCTCTCCTGCTTCTGGTTGATCCATTCTCTTACTAACAGCTCAGGTTTATGGCGTTGATCTCTCGCCTGTTCAGACGTCAGCGTAAGTTGTATAGTCCTTGGATGCCCAAAGCTAGTGCCCAGTGCTCAACACTGACCCGTCACAGAATTCCTCCCAACGCCAAGTTCGAAGTTGATGATATTGAGGAGCCATGGACGTACCATGTGCCATTTGACTATATTCACACAAGGATGATGACATCCAGCGTGTCTGATTGGAGTAAGCTTTTCAAACAAGCTTTCAAGTAAGTTCAGACTGAAGAAACACTAGACGCGAACTAACTCAACAGACACCTCGAGCCTGGCGGATATCTGGAAATTCAGGAGGCCGACCTTCATCCCCATTGCGACGACGGTACCCTGAAACCAGATCATGCAATGACGAAGTGGCTGAAGCTTCTCGGTGAGGCGATGGAAATCTTCGGCCGACCTTTCGTCGACATCCCTGGTCTCGTAGCCGTCATGGAAGAAGTCGGATTCGTCGATGTGACTATCGAGACATATAAGTGGCCCATCAACGAATGGCCCAAGGACCCTCATTACAAAGAGATTGGAACCTGGACGCATGCCAACTTCATGGAGGGTCTGGAGGCCTGGACTCTGGCACCCTATACCCGAGCTCTGAACTGGACAAAAGAGGAGGTCTTTGTCTTTCTGACGGAGGTACGTTCCAATTTGAAGAATAGGAACATCCATGCCTACTGGCCAATGTAAGTTTCAATTTCCAGGTCTATTGCGACGTTTGTCATTTTGTGGTACTGACGCAGCAAAAGCTACTCAATTTACGGGAAGAAACCCGTTGAGAAGAAGGCAGAGGAGCCGGCGGCAGAAGAGTGAGGTATGGCTTGGAGGCAATAGACATCTTAGGAACATGATCATTTGAACGAGTCTATGATTCTTCTTCACATTACTCCCCGTCAGCCGAGCCTCTTCATATACCTTGCGGTCAAACCCTTGTACAGCTGATCTATCCAAGGTACTTGGCGGACTGTGTATCTCCAAAGAACCTCGCAATATCGCACCCCAGAGCCAGCGTCCTGCCATGGTATTTCATAGCTTCAAATGTTAGAACTATTTTGGTAGGTATTGAATCGATTCGTTTCTATTGCGCCTTGCCCGTTATTTCCCCTTGCAATTACGATACGTGCGTAAGGCACCCTGCTCCTGCGCCGTTGGAAGCAAGCAGTACCCACGCATCACCCCTTGTCACCAACATATCCATGTCTGGCCAAGAAGAGGGGCGGAATCCTCTTCCAACACAGATAAATGCTTCGCAGCCATTTGGGTCTCGCCTCCTGTTATTCCCTCTGCTAGAGCTAGGGGTAATGCAGTCAGTATTCTGTCTTTCGAAACTCAGCAACTGTAATGTGCAACAATCAACCCGGGCCTCCGGTCAACCACGGGCCTGTCATTGTGGCTGATGAAGTGAGAATGCCGTTTTGCCATTGCGCGAGCTAACAATACTAAAGTCAATTGCAGATTACGGATGACAACGCATCGGAAAGGTTGACGGTAAGGAGTAGTTCGTATTTGACACCACAATGGAAGCAAGCGCATAATCTTTTCCCGCAGAGTCTCGCATCTTCAACTCACAGCTTATCGAGCTCGATCCTTCAACATCGCCATGAGAATGGAAGAACTTACTACCGTAAATACAAAGCGGGAAGTACGTTATTTTGATATTCCTATTCTCTTTAGTCGTCTAACCTTGTACACCAGGATATAACTACCCTAATGACGAGCGGGAGATGGATAGGTTAGGTATGTGCTCACATATACTCCATAAACTGTACCGCCACGTTAAGCTTATCTCATACCCAATTCTTTCTTTAGATTTCCAACATGAGCTCTTCCTCTTGACCCTTCATGATAGACTGGGGCTTGCTCCACCGAACGAGCCAGGCTCGAAGGTCAATCGCGTACTCGACCTGGGGACCGGTACGGGCATCTGGGCTATTGACTTCGCCGATGAACACCCGGAAGCAGTGGTGAGCAATCTAGAAGAGTTTAAGATCCGCGGAAGCTGAAGCTAGAGTCAGGTATACGGCGTAGACCTTTCGCCTACACAAACGACCGCGTATGGACGAACATCCATGGGGAACTTTTCTGACATACTAACATTCATCATCTAGCGTCCCACCCAACATCAGATTTGAGGTTGACGATATAGAAGAGACATGGACATACCGTGAGCCGTTCGATTACATACACTGCCGTGCAATGACGTCGTCTATATCAGACTGGAGGAAGCTCCTCCAGCAAACGTACGAGTAAGGGCCCTTCTCATCTTCAAGCAAGTAATCTACTAATCTCTATAAGCCATCTCGAGCCCGGGGGTTGGTTCGAATTGCAAGAAGGTCATGTCCGACCCTTGTCCGACGACGGGACGCTAACTCGGGAGCACTCACTATCAAGATGGGCAGATTATATCGAAGAGGCGTGCAATATCATGGGGCGCCCTTTCGTAAATGTGCTATCCCTCGTGGAAGTCATGAGAGAGATCGGCTACGTCAATGTGACGTATAGTACGTTCAAGTGGCCTCTTAATACTTGGCCCAAGGATGAGCATTATCAGATCCTCGGCCATCTCAATCATGAGAGTTACATGGAAGGGATTGAAGGCTTCACACTTGCGCCTTTCACTAGGGCCCTCAAGTGGTCACGGGAAGCGATCGATATGTTTCTCGTTGGCGTGCGTAACGATCTGAGAAACAGATATATACACGCCTACATTCCCATGTGAGTAAATTTAACCCGGTGGGGGGGCTCTCACTTCTTCTTCTGACCATCAGTAGTCAGTTGATACATGCGCGCAAGCCTGAGAGGTTGAATAAAGATTGATGGTTGAGGGCACCAGGCCGCGATGAACTGAAGAATGTTGACGAAGTTGGTACCAGATGCCCCAGAGACGACAGAGGAAGAAGATTTTCAAGTAACGTTCAACCTCGCGACTCTGTTACGACCCTATGTTGGAAGTTTGAAGGCCCACATGTCGCTCATGAAGACATACGAATTGGGTCGTTTGTTGTCTCTCGAACTAATGCAACGGCCCAAGGCCGCGGCACGGGTTGGTCAGGTGGAATCTTCAACTCGATATAAACCGGCCAACGAGAGAAAATACTGATTCGCCACGTCGTACACTCCTGCTGCTTTTGTCTTAGAACGATGGGCAGCTGATTCTGATACGTTCAAAACCCTGGTTCTGTTGGAAGAAGGCTCCAACAGCAAACAATAATCCTTGTCACCAACATGCATAATTGTCTCCATTCCAGAAGAGGGGTAGCAGTTCTTGTTCCACAGATTCGACAAAATCGTTCACGTATCCGTCGCGCTCCTCCTTTTGTCTTTGCTGCAATTACTGAGCGGATTGTAAATCTTCCGGATACACACCGAGGGCTCACAAAACTTGTTTCATGATGGCGGACAATACAACCGAGCCGGTGCCTGACAATGGCCCCGTCATGGCGGCTGACGATGTAAGTCGCAGCTCCTAAATGAGCGCCTGCTCAGTACTAAGTACCGCATAGTTCAGCGATGATGCTTCATCTGATAGGGCAACTGTAAGTCTATGGGAAATGAAGCCCTGTGTCTGGTATGAGCGGCCTAATGAATCTAGAGCATCGCGTCTTCCAGTACAAGTCTGTCCAGCTCAATCCTCCAGCATCGTATCGAGAACGGGAGGACGTACCACAAGTACAAGGAAGGCAGTAAGTCGATGAACTAGCCACGTGATTTTCGCGACACTAATGAATACAGAATACAACTATCCGAATGATGAGAAGGAGAGTGACAGGCTGGGTACCTCACCCTTACACTTTCCTTCTTCCGCATCATCTCATGTCCTTTACAGATCTTCAGCACAACCTGTATCTACTCACGCTCGACTACAAGTTGGGTCTTGCTCCCCCGAATGAGAACAACAAAGCCCAGCGTGTGCTTGACATTGGAACTGGAACCGGGTTGTGGGCCATTGACTTCGGGGATGAACATCCCGAGGCCGAGGTAAGGACACCAGCACCAATTCCATGCAAGAGGCGCTAAGTTTTGCAATAGGTGCTCGGAATAGATCTCACACCAGTCCCCACGGCATTGTACGATCCGATTCCTCTCGCATTGCCGCACGTGTAATATACTAATGACTCTATAGCGTCCCTCCCAATGTCAAGTTCGAGGTCGATGATGCTGAAGAGCCCTGGACCTTCAGTCAGCCATTTGATTACATCCACATTCGTGGTATGACCTCAAGCATCGGTGATTGGAAAAAGTTTTTCCAAAAGACATTCAAGTAAATGGTTTCCGGACCCGCTTACATTGAGTTTGTACACTGACCTGTTACAGCAACCTTACGCCAGGTGGCTACGTCGAGCTGTTTGAAGGTCACATGCGGCCAGATTGTGACGATGGGACGTTGACGTCTGATCACGCTTTCATCAAGTGGGTAGACAAGATCGAGGAGGCCTGCAACATCTTCGGTCGGCCGTTCATCAATATCCCCAGCCTGATCCCTATACTCAAGGAAGTCGGGTTCGTGGATATCGAAATGGTCAAGTACAAGTGGCCCCTCAACAACTGGCCAAAGGATCCCCACTACAAGGAGCTTGGCGAGTGGAATCTCGAGAATTTCCTTGAGGGTATCGAGGGATGGAGTATGGCTCCTTTGACCAGGGCCCTCGAATGGACAAAGGAGGAAGTCAACGTTTTCCTCATTCAAGTTAGGAATGACTTGAAGGATAGAAGAATTCACGCCTACACACCCCTGTAAGTCTCCTACCGACGGGATCGAGCCAAAATTTGTTTTGCCTGCAGCTCTACCTCATATCGAACGAAACTAACCAGGATCAGCTACCTGATCCACGCGAGAAGACCTCCTGCGGCGGAGGCTTGAAGTTGCGCAAGGTCCGAAGATAACCTGAACCTTGGGGGGTCGGCGGGGTAGGCGATGTTGAAGTAGCTGGTGAAGCTGGCGGATGAAGGTGTGTCGAGGAATCTGAATGTAGCAAGCACAGCCTATAATGACAAAATGGATTTATATTTCACTCTTCTCATCTTCTCGCACAAAGACATGGCTTGACACTTCCGGAGAGGCGACACCCGTTTTGAGTCGACGAGATGAAAGGAGAAAGCTCAAGACTGGGTATGACCGGCTTCTGGGAGATCGATGGCCGACGGAGCAAGGGCGTCTTGTCTCCAGCTTTCCAGCTTGGCAGTATGGTATCGTCTAGGTAGCTCGGTAAAGATAAAGAAGATGAAGTCGAGATAACAAGACGTGATTATGCTCTTTGTGCAGGCGAGACAAGGTGATTTGTGCAACCTCGGGCCAGCTTCGGGACTAATGCAAGGCGCACGGACAATTTAAGCTCACAGTACCCCATACCGCTGACGGGAAACTCCACCACAGGTACCCACCCGCAGTCCCGGCCAACCAGGTGGTCGCCAAACAAGCAAAGGAAACAGCCCCTCTCTTTTTCAGGACTTATTCCCGCGCGAAAGAGCGGCAAGCGGCAAGGCGGGAAACGTCGTCAATGAGCGTCAGCGTCAGTCAATCAATCCGGCCATTTCCACCTACCCAAAACATCTTACCATCTTGTGACGCCTAACTGGTCAGGCCGGAAACCATCTGCCTATCCCCCAGAACCTAGGTCACATCAAGTTCCCAGCCACTCCAGTCCAACAAAGAGTGATACGCTATACCGCCCCTCCCCGCCCCGCCTTGCCGGTCAGCAGCAAGCAGCGACCCTACCGACTGATAGTTTGACGACACATCCCGTGCCTCACACCTTCACGAACCTCGACTTTACATCCTTTCCCGCCCATCGACCGCCAACCTCCAACGCCTCCTTTCCGAATCCCTCACGAATTCCGCACCAGCCACCATGGCTTCCAAAGGAGTCTCCCTCCTGAAGTTCGTGGGAACTGTTTCCCTCGGTCTTCTGACTGTACGTTTCACCGCCCTACCAGCGCAGCTCGGTTCACCGTCGGACCATCATCAGTGACGCCACTATCCCATCCCCATCCACCCCTCCCCCTCCAACTCCCCGCATTCAGGACACTCCGGGATGCCGAACCATCCTGTACCCCAATCATGAAATGCTTCATCCAAGTCATACTAACACACCCGCGCGCATTAGGGCCTCTCCTACTCCCTCTCAACCGTAACAGTCCCCTCGATCCTCTCCCTCCCCTCCGCCTCCGACGCCCTCCGCGCCTTCAAGAACCTCTACCCAACCGCGACCGCCCGACTCCGCCTCCTCACCGGCGTATCCGCAACCTCCTTCCTCCTCGCCTTCTTCCTCTCCCCGCGCGCCTTCCGCCACCCCTACCTCGTCTACGCCTCCGTCCTCACCCTCACCTCTGGTCTCGCCGAGCAAATCACCCCCTACGTCCTCAAGAGCAGCCCCGAGTCCTCCAAGGAATCCATCGCCGCCCGCCGCCAGGCCGCCCGCGACCGCGAGCAGAAGCGTAAGGCCGCGCGCATCGCTCGCCAGGAGGCGCGCATGGAGGCCAGCTACGAGGTCCTCGGCGACACCCACAGCGACGGCGCCGGCAGCGCGAGCGGCGACGAGTCTTCGGCTGCGGCTGCTGAGGCCGAGGAGGAGGCGCTCAACGGCGAGGAGGTCCGCGGCGAGGTGGACGGGTTCAGGAAGACGCAGCTCGTGCAGTCTGCCGTCGCCTCGGTCGGCTTCCTGCTGTCCGTCATCGGCATCTGGGGCGATGGTGCCATTCAGGTCTTCAAGACCGAGACTGTGATTGTTGGTGTATGAGAAAGAGACGTCCAGCGGGATGCTGAGTTGAGCAAGGGGGTCGCTTGTGTTGTACCCAAGTCGCGAAATTGCTGCTGTTGCGTATAGGAAGCTTTTTGAGATTGCGTGGACGGGAAACGATGCCCACACTATACTATACTAGTACTGCTTGCCAGAGAGAAAGCCGTCATACTCGTTACATATTATCCTCTACTATACCGGCCTAATTGGACACCGGACAACATGACAAAATAGACAATTAAAAACCTAGTCTACTTGCTAAAGATTACACGGTCTTTTTGTAGCGTGATGCTCTGCCTCTGCGGCCTAGCCCCGTCATTTCATACCTCATTGAAGCTTTCCGGCTGGCACCCAGCCCTCGGCTCACCAGTCTTTCCACTTCCGTTCTTTTTCGTTCTCCCATATAGGCAGCATGCTTTGAAACGATCGTTCGAAAATCATATGACGGCTCAAGACTTTAACCTCTCACTGCCCGCCATATCGTCCTGCGCATCCTTGATCAGGAAGCTAGTCAAGTGTCAGCGGTCAACTCAGCAAGCTAATCTTGGTGTCACTGCCGACTCACTTGTACATGAGAACCGTTGGCGGGATCGTGCCCAGGTGCCATAAACTGTGCGCATCCAACGCACCCCACACGGGTGGGAAGTCAAACAGCTCCAGACTCATGACCATGACGACGACCGCGACGACGATACTCGGCCAGATGGCCCATGTCCTCCGTGACTGCCTATACTTGTTCAAACTGAACCACAACCACATGAGGTTCTGAATCACGCCGACAATAACGTTGGCCGTCATGTTGTACGTGTAATCCCACCGCACGCCCTTGAGGTAGGCAATGTGCCCGGCGTAAAGCAGCACGCACAGCAGCGTCCACGCGCGCAGGACCGACCTCCGGCGCGGCGTCGGCCGGTCGAGGCGCATGATGCGCACCACGGTGTAGTACAGCCCGTACAGCACGCTCGCGCCCGCAGCAAAGTAGTCGAGCTGCTCCGTGGCCACAAAGTCGCGCGTATGGAAGATTGCGCTGAACGTCCACGAGGCGATGCCCACGCCCGCGAGCCACTCGTACCAGGGCCGCAGCGGGTACGACGCCGGGATGACGGCGCGGAGCTTGCGCCAGCCGTTCTGGTGGGCCCAGAGGTTGCCCAAGCTGAAGAGGGTGCTGGCGGGTTCCTGGACGCCCAGCAGGCGTGGGAAGGGCCATTTTCCGTGAAATTGGACCACGCGCTCGCCGGCGGCGAGGCGCTCTTTTGTGATTATGTGTTGGCAGGTGTAGTCGCATTCGGAGGCGCAGGTCCAGAGTAGGAGGCGGCGGTGGAAGGCTGTTGGTAGGGGTTCATGTGTTAGTTATTTAGTCACCTTGTGGTGTGCGGGCAGGAAGGGGGAGAAACGTACGGATTGGCGTAGCATCTTTGCCAGGAGCGCAGTTCTCATCGTGGCAGACCTGGATGGCGAGGGAAGCGCAGGGCAGTATGTCAGTCACAAGAGACACTAGAGAGAGTTTTCTCAAGCATTGCTAGTTGCGAGCGCGAGCACAAGATTGCGCGCGCGCCCATGTGTGTGTGTATGTGGTGGGCACCAACTTGGACGCATTCTCGGAACTCTGGTAACCGATCGCCGTACGAGGCCTCGACGGCTACTGCGAAGATGAGGATTGCGGCGATGACTAGGAACAGAGGAGACTTTGATGGTCTCCCCGCTCGTGAGCTGTTCATGGCGTCTGCATCTATTGTCTGGTGGTGTTCGTATGCGAGTGGTCTTGTCGGCTCTCGAATCGGAGGGTGTGTCGCGTGCTACGTGGTCGAAGTGAGGGTTGGTCAGGGCGGGAGGTGGAGGGAGGAAAGTCAACATGAAGGTACGGAGTATTTAAGGTAAGCTATGGTAATGGAAGGTATCCGTACGGAAACATGGGACACAAGGGTTCGGAGGTCTCGGACGGCTAGAGCCCTGTCACCGCGGGTTACACTGGTCGAATAAAGGTCCCGGTCAAGGTACAAGTAAGCTCCAGCTGCGCTGGCGGGGAATTCGCGTGCTTAATTGGCCGCGCTTTCCGGGGGCCATAAATTTGGCGGGGTTCATTCAATATCCAATATTAATACACCAGGCAGAAGTGCCCATTCATCCAAGGTCGAATAATTCTCAATTCTCACAACTTCAGTCGCAACTTCGGTCTGCATCGAAATAACGTGAGCCATCATTGCGAGATTCGCTTGTGTTCTTCAGCGCAGGTAACAACACCAAACGAATTCAAGCGGCTCATCCATTAAGCAACAGGAAGGACTCTGCCAACTTCTATTCATCAACCCAGATTGTCAGGTACAGTAACGGTCAAGGGAATACCAGTCCCATGTCTCTCAAGGTTATGCACTTGCTACATGAAGAAGCACCTCTGCAACCGCCGGGCGATTGCATTCTCTCGCCCGATCGAGAGCTGTCTGACCTGACACCGTCCTCGCATTCACATCGATACCAGCATCGAGGAGAACCCTAGCCTTGGCATCAGACTCATGTCCAAACCCCAGGAACAGGGCATCCGGGCTCCCCGCCGTCAAGTGCAGCGCCGTCTCGCCGTCGTTGGTCCTCGCACCCATATCAGCCCCGGCCGCAAGCAGGATCCGGACATGTTCGGCGCCCCCCCACGCAGCTGCGGCGTGTAGGGGAGTCTTTCCTTCGTCATCCGTCGCCTCGAGGTCCGCGCCGGCCCCGAGCAAGAGCCCTATCAGCTCCGCCGAGAACGAGGCCGCTCGATGCAGCAGTGTGTCGCCGCCCTGGCCTCGGACGGAAACGTCGGCGCCCTTTTCTATCATGAGCTTGACCGAGGCCGGCGCGTCGGAGAGGGAATGCAGGGCGGCCGTGTCTCCTTTGTTGTCGAGGGCGCTCGTGTCTGCGCCGGCGTCGAGAAACACCTGGACCACGCCGAGGTGGCCGCGACTAGCAGAATGATGCAGGGGCGACTGTCCGTAGCAGTCTCTGGCGGTGACGTCCGCGCCAGCAGCGATGAGCAGCTTGGCGATCTCCTCCTCTCCCGCCCTGGCCGCTTGGTGCAGCGGGGTCTCGTCGTCCATGGTGCGGGCGTTGACGTTGGTTCCGGCCCCGATGAGCATTTGCACTTGCTCGATTCCGCCGTCGGCGGCCGCCATGTGCAGAGGCGTTTGGCCGTCGTAGGAGGCTGCAGAAGCGTCGGCTCCGGCGTCGAGCAGGGCTTTCATGGCTTCTGCGCTTCCTGGCCGCCCGGTGAAGTGGATCAACTGGTGTCGGCCAGGCATCGATGTCTGTGAGACGTCGGCTCCGTTGAGGATGAGCTCCACTAGCCGTTGCGTGTTGCCGTTTAACGCTGCATTATAGAGACATTCGTGCTCGCAGAAGTGTTTCGGACAGTCGTTTGATTTTAAGCACATGTTGCGTGACGAGGCGAAATGTGCAGAAGCAAGTGACAAGACACTCAGTAATAAAATAACTAATCCGTGTCGAGGTATCATAGAGAGATCGCGTTTTTTGCTCTTTGAGCAGTGAGTCTTTGGCGATTCAACCACATTGCCTCAGGTGAAGAGTTGTCAATTCCTTTTGAACCGTTTCAGGAGCCATCTCTAGCCTGGGGCGTTGGTAGGCAGAAGCAGCGGATTAAACTCTATAAGTTGAATGCTAGGCCGAGAATGGTATGTATCCACAAGACACGAGATGGGTCTCCGACACATCACGACCAACAGACATTTTTGAGGGAAGAATTTCTCAGGCACGATACCCTAAGAGCACGGATCTTAGGCAGAAGTGGCAGGCATCATGGTTCACCAAGAGTCGTGAGTCGATCTAAGTGGGGAACGCGATGTCGTAGCTTGTGAATCTTCCACACGGCTCGTGAACCAAGACCGTACTCCTCGACACAACTTGCAACTTCTTAGTCAGTAGGTACAATTACAACAGAAATAGAAGCCAGTGTGATTTATTGACTCCCGCTACCTACTTGCAGTACCTTGGACCCATGGCTTCGTTGAAGTACCCTTTCGAGTTTCAGGCATCGATGACCTCCTCAATCGACTAGATCAACGTCGGGGTGGTCAAGAGGAGATTGGGAAGGCTATAAAGAGTCCGACTAGCACGCAGCTAGACTTGAGACATACTGAAGTCAAGTGGCACCCATATGCAGCAAGGAATGAGTATATGAATTGATATGTAGAGGCCGGCATTGTCTGGGAAGGTATTTAACGAGAGATGATCAGAAGCTAAAGGCCTGAAAGGACGAAGAAGAGGTAAGGTACAAATTTGAAGTAGGAAACTTGGCTTTATAACTGGGAAGTCGAGTGTCAATGGCATTGGCTAGGACTGTAACTACATCATTGCAGAGGAATATTAACGTTGCTGCCCAATGTGGCTGTTATTGACGCCACGAGTATTCCTGCTAGAATACTGCCGGAATGACAACTACTAAAATGTCAATTTGTTGTTCTTACAGATAGAACCTAAACTTATTGGTCATGCTGTACCCTGATCTGATAGGATTAGTGACCTTCCCCAGTCAAGGATGAACGAAAAGATGGTAATCCTATGCGTCCTTCCGTCGCTAAGAGAGTCGCGACCGCAGTGGCGTTGGTAGAGGAGTGCTTAGAGTAGGATATTGCAATATATATGTATATACTGACTTGGGGGATAGGCAGGAGTTTCAGTACAACAGTTAGACTTTCATTAAAGAAGTGAAAACATATGGAGGTTGTGGCTGTTTGGAAGCGAGCTTACATCAGTAGTGGCTACTTGAATGCTTGTCTCCCTGCACTCAGGTTCAATCTGGATATGAGCACGACCCGAACGTCTCATGAGATCAACATCTCTTGTCGAGGTAAATACATTAAATGATTAAATGGCTTTATGACACAGCACTGCTATCCTGTTGTTGTGTCGTCTACATGGTATTCGGCAGTTGCTTTGTAAGCTCGAACTTTCCCAGGTTAGTCTTTCAAGTCAGTGAAGCCCGATGATCACTCTCATCGTAATTCTTCAGGTTGGTGCGTATTCCGGACTCTGTAATCATCTCTATACGAGTATTCTCGAAAATTGGGCAATTTGGCCTTCTTGGTCTTCGGTAGAGAGGCGGCCTTCACACAAGTTGCAGATGTCCTGCCCTCGATGACATACGTCGCCTGCCTCTATGATATAGCGACACAGAACGCCCGCTTTCCGCCAAATATGAATTAGTCGATCAAGAGGTAAGGGCACCTAGCTAGTGAAACTATATGGATGCTAGTGTGGAATATTATCCTCGATATGAGGCCAACGCAGATGGCTCGGTACCTGCGGGGCCTGCCAGGCATGCCATCTTGGCCACTCCTTGTGACCGTGTGTAGTTTGATAGGCATTGAGGAGCCGCTATGGCCATCGTGAATCGTGGGAAGGCCATTCTGCATGGCAGGATCAAAATCTGCATAAAAATGTAGCAAACAGGGGAAGACCAGTGCAAGAACCACTGGCCTGGGCAGATCAAGTAGCGAGACTACTTGCTTCGCCATTTTACGCCCTGAGCTGATCCGATCCGAGAGAAAGGTTGATGTTCGAAGACAGACTTGGTGAACTATTCTTCTCGGGCACGGAGACCAGATCCAATGTCAGACAGTGTATATGCCGGATCAGAGAACCTCGGAAAGAATTCTGCAAGGGCTTGACGGCATCGGGGGCCTTGGATAAGACTCGGAGAGCGTTGATGATATGATTTTCATTCACAGAATGCCGTTGACTACTGACTCACGCCCTTGTCTCCGTCAACGATCGTGCATCCCCTACTTTATTATATCCAGCCACCTCTTTCTACTTCTGTATGGCAGCGCCCGAGTATATGAAGGTGGCGAAGTTTACGATACCCGGAACCAAAGCCTCATCTTTGAGCAGCTTCTTTACGCGGAAGATGTAAGTGCGCTTAGCTACATTGATACTCCTTGATTATTGGAGGTTCAACGTGCACACTTGCCTCGATTTCAGCGTGGAACCACTCACTTTCAACCCAACTTTGGAAACATACTTATCGACGGTGAAATAGCTGGGTTCCACGGGAAGCCCAAGAAACATCGGTATAGAGGTTCCTGAAGCTGCCGAACCTCATCGGAACCAAGAGTAATGAAATGTCTTGCTTTTTCACACTTCATTCATCAGCCTTGACGGCGTAAGAGGCCCAGCAGCCTCAGCCATCACCCCTCGTTTTCTCAGTATGAGGTGGTCACAATTCAGCAGATGCTGATTACGGGTGGTGCCATTGCGTCTGGCTCTGGGACACCGTTTGATAACGATGTGTTTCGCCGGCTCCGACGTGACGAATACCTACGGGATCCACTTGACCCGGCCCAAGACTGCAGCCGGTCGGGCGGTGGGGGTGGCGTTACTCGCCGGGCCCGGAGCGGTCTGACGCCTGCAAGCACCGGTGCTGGGCAGCCGCGAACAGAACACGAACAGCACAAAAGAGAAAAGAAATACCGGACCGCCAAGGAGTCAACCGGCAACGGCAATCCGTTTGTACGGGATGTGGCATGAGGCGAACAGCACGCCGAGTCCGCGCACCAAGACCGGGGGCCAAGAGCTGCAGCGGAGGACAGGGATATCAGGGACTAAGAAGTTCAGAAGCAAGGATGCGAGGGACGCGGAGTGGGTCACCTCAGCCTTGGCCCCTGTGGGGGCATTCCTGTTTCAATTTCCAAAGAACCACAAGTCCTGACGTAGGTGTCAATTTCAACCCGCCAGACCAGGCCACTTTGGGCGTATCAATCAACAAACCCGTGGCACTCAATCACAACACCATCAGACTCCCGTCGAGTCTCACTCCAATCCAGCTCCAGCCAGTCCCCATCAGCCTCTCTTTACCTTAACCTTGGTAGCAGCAGCTTGCCGCGGTACGTTGATATTTGCTGTTACGGTTTAACCCTTTATCGACCCGTTGACCCATCGACCAGTCCTTCTTCACAGGCCTCCCATACCGGCACACCTTCCTTGCATGCCGCTAAATTTTACCTCTCGAATCGGTTCACCCACTTAGCGCACATGTATTCCTGATCGATACGCACTACGTACTTCTTTGGAGGAAGACAGAAACACAGAGAGCCATTGCCAGAGTCGGCGTTACATTGTGCGATGTGTGAGTGGTGCCTTTTGGCTTTTTTTGCCCGGGAGCTGCCCTGCAAGCATGGAACCGGCGTGTTTGCCCAATGCGAGCTGGTCTGGTATGGCCCATGGGTTGGCCGTTTGTGGGAGCTCTGGCCACTTAACTCATCGTCATCCCAACCCCAGAGCCCCCCCAAAGATGCACACGCGCCAGCAAACAGATCGCTGACGAGGACCTTGACCTTGGCAGCTGAGAGATTGGGGGAACGCCCGTCCGCACACTTCAACGCTCCAATGCTCTCCGGCTGTCACCGACCACTCACGGCCCTCGCCTCATCCCAAAAACCAAGGCTACGCAACGCGCACATTCAATCAACTTGAGGTGAGGGACGAGGGAGAAGAGGAGGGGGACATACAGATGATGGAACGCCAACACGTTGTCAACCGATAAGCCTCAAAACCAATGGCAGGAGACGGGTCGTTGCTTACTTTTTTTTTTTTTTTTTTTGAAGGCAGCAGGAAGCTACCTAACTTACGTAGTGTGGGTTGATGCAGAGCAAGGCGGTCTACGCGTAGTATTACGGATACTCACACACGAATAGGATCAGATGGAAAGACCTCGGACCTGGTTCTTACACAGGAATTAGCTTATTAGCATACTGCATGTCTCTCTGCATGGAGTCAGGTGGGTTGATTTGCTGCAGCAAGGATTGCGGACTTGGACTGAGGTGAAGGCCCGGTCCTCCTGGCGCTGGCCTCTTCAATTCGAGGGATACAAATCAAGGGGAATCTCGGAGGCCGCCTTCAAAGGTACCTACTTTACCATATCTACCTGGTAGATAGTTGTGAATACAAGTATGGCATTGTGCTTGGGGGCGAACGCTTGTCGATGACGGCCAGAAAGTTGGCCATCGCCACAACAAAGAAGCCAGCACTCGTCCAACACCACTGACAGCGCCACCAAGAACAACCATCGCAAAGTGTCCTTCTCTATCGAGTCTGTCCTAGAGTGTCGCAAAACTCCATGACGGCCTCTCCTTGGACCCAGTCCGACTGTACATAGTACTGTCCGTCACAGGTTCACCCCTAGAAACCGCCCCCGGTCCACCTTCCACCCTGCTGCAGCTCGCAGCACGAACGAACAGGGCAGCCTGGCCGGCTTCACCACGAACCTGGACCTCCCTAGCTCGAGTTTCCAGCTGTAGCGCAGCAGCTCACCTCAGACCAGGACGTTGCCCACAGCGGTTGCGTAGTGGACTCTCCCCACCACCGCCGATAATCCCTGCCACTTTAATTCCTAGCTCGCGTCACTCTGCGCTACCTTGGCCCAACAGCGCATCCAATCCAACACAACACACTTTTCTCGTGCGATTTGTGGTGGGATTCCGACAACACCCTCTCTCCGTTTAATCTTCCTGCTTTTCCCCCTTCCCATCTTTCACCTTTCCCCCTTCTCTTCAAGGTTCCTTCCAGCTACCGTCTTTGTTTGGCGTCGCAACACCAGATACCCGGCCATTGATACCCTCCCTTCGAGCTCTCAGTTCGTAAAACAACAAATCTTGAGACCCTCTGGGCTTCTTGAGAGCTGGCCGGCGTGCACAAACTGGACCCTGCCAGTCTCATTTGCGCTGAGACATTGTAAGGAGCCACCGTTGCCCAGGGATGTTTCTTGGTCATTCTGTTTCCATGATCTGACTGTTCTGTTCTGCTCACAGGCAAAGACGAAACCAAAATCACAAATTCATCACAGAATCGCAGACATGGCTTCACATCCCCACGGAGAAGCCCTCGATGACATCGAGCACAACCCCCATGCCTCGGCCAACAGATGGCGTCACCAGGAGAGCTCGGCTTTCCTCCGCCATGCCGCCGGTGCTCACAGCCACGCACAACCCCGCGACCCCCAAGAACGAGGAACCACCAACGACCTGGCCGACTTTCTGAACCGCGACCGCGTCGAGCCCGAGAACCCCAATGCTCCGCCCAACTTCAAGCCCATCATGGTTGCTGCTGGTGAGGCCGCTGGCCAGGAGGAGCCTCGCGCGGCGGCGACCCACGCCCACGAGCAAGACCCCCCCGATGGCCGGGAGATCATCTGCGGACCGCTGCTCAATTACCGCAGGATGGACGAGAACAAGTGGTACGGAAGTGTCTTGATTGTCACGAAGGGCGGTGGTAAGACTCAGAGCTTCGCACCGCACTTGGTTCTGCACCCTGCGAACGCAGTGAATGGCCAGTACGCCTCTACGGAGACGAACGGTGTCAACGGCTCCAACGGTGCTTTCAATGGCCAGGTTTCCGGCGCAGCCAATGGCGCGGGCACCAGTGGCTCAGAGACCCAAGGTCAATGTCTCTACTCTGACCCTCGCAACACTTTCTGGGCCTTTGACCTGTCACTGCCCCTCAGCCAAACGGAGGCCAAGTGGGAGTATTCGATCCCCGATATGCGATTCTCGGCTGGCAACATCCGGCCTGATCGCTACCACTTCTTCGTCCCGGCCAGCAACGAGTCGATGCGCATCATGTTCCATTCTTGCAACGGATTCAGCGTGGGCACTGATGAAGACGCCTGGAGCGGCCCCGCCCTGTGGAACGATGTGAACCGACACCACAAAGAGCGACCATTCCACGTCATGTGAGTCCAATGTCTTGGCCTGCTTAGTACGAGGTCGCTTTTTCTGACTTGCCCATAGGCTCGGAGGAGGTGACCAGATCTACAACGATGGAATTCGGGTCGACGGACCTCTGCGCGAATGGACCGAGATCTCGAACCCCAAGAAGCGCAGACACTTCCCCTTTCCCGAGAAGCTTCGCCAAGCTTGTGACGATTACTACCTGAAGAACTACATCCGTTGGTATGTGCATGGCCAGGGGGGAACATGACGGTGTCGAGAGCTAACATTGTCAACAGGTACTCTACGGAGCCATTTGCGACTGCCAATGCCCAGATTGCGCAGCTCAACATCTGGGATGATCATGATGTACGTTGAAGCTCGAAGATAATGGCGAACGATGTTCTGACCGGACAACCTAGATTATTGACGGATTCGGTTCCTATGTTGACGATTTCATGCGATGCGATGTGTTCAGGGGTATTGGTGGAACTGCCCACAAGTACTACATGCTGTTCCAGCATCACCTCCCTCCGCCACCGTCCACTTACACCTCGGGTACGTTTCTAGTTGATGGCGAAGGAATTCGGGCTAATCCACGGATAGACCACACCACAACGGCCGAGAACCAAGGACTTGACCCCAACCAACTCATGGATACCTATGTTGCGCCGGCTAAGTCGGATCCCAGCTACATTGTTGGCAAGCAACCTGGTGTAAGTCATCGGTACCGACTCTTCCTGAAAGCACGACTAACCAGACTCCCAGCCCTATGTCGCTGAACACTCACATAACATGTTCGCCCGGCTTGGCGCACGTATTGCCTTCCTGGGCATTGATGCTCGAACTGAGGTAAGAACATTGAGGAACATACACTGGAAGTCAACATACTAATAACGTTTCACAGCGCACACGCCATCAAATCAATTACCCAGAGACATATGACTTGATCTTCAGTCGCCTCAGACAAGAGCTCAAGGGCGCTCAGGAGTCTGGACGCCCATTCAAGCACTTGATCCTTCTGCTGGGAATCCCAATTGCGTATCCTGTAAGTAAAGATGGCCTGTGAGATGTCTTTGCAGAGACTGACTGCGTTCCAGCGCCTGACATGGCTTGAGAACGTCTTCCGCAGCCCCATCATGGGTCCTGTGAAGTTCCTCAACCGGAGATTCGGTCTCGGTAAGTGTACAATGAGGAGACAGAACGAGTCTTGGCTTACTGACAATATCAGCCGGTGGTGTTTTCAACCACTTTGACGGCAGCGTCGATTTGCTCGACGACCTTGACGACCATTACACGGCCAGAACTCACAAGAAGGAGCGCAACGCTCTTGTTGAGAGGCTCCAGGCCATCTCGTCAGAGTTCTCGGTCCGTATCACCATCTTGGGCGGCGATGTGCACTTGGCGGCTATGGGCCGATTCTACTCGCATCCTAAGCTGAACATTGCTTCGGAGAACGACCACCGCTACATGGCTAACGTGGTGTCTTCTGCCATTACCAACAAGCCACCGCCAGCAGCGATTGCCAACTTGCTGGCCAGGAGAAACAAGATCCATCACCTGAACCACGATACGGACGAGACGCTGCTCAAGTTCTTTGACAAGGACCCCGGCGATTCGAGCAAGACGTCCAACTCCAACCATGTGACTATGCCGAGCCGGAACTTTGCCATTCTCACCGAGAACTCGCCCAACAATGGACTGGCTGCGCCGACGAACGGTGATACGCGGTCAGTGATTTCCGGCAAGGGTGGACACGATTTCCTCCATGTCGGTGAGGTGGAGTCAGGATCCAAGCACAAGGCAGCCGGAAAGCAGCACGGCACCGGCAACGATGGTAGCTTGGATATTTGCATCCGCGTCGAGATCGACCAGCACAACCGTGAGGGTCTCACGGAGGGTTACGGTGTCACTGTTCCCCAGCTCAAGTACACCAGCCAGCCGGTGCCGGTTGAGCCCTTCCCTGCACAGGAGCGCGAGAATGGACAGGGCGAGTAAAGAGGCTCTGTTCAAGCTTGACGGTGGTGAAGGGAAGAGATGGTTGATGATCGACGCTCGACGTTGGCTAGCATTGTTGCATCGGTTGTCGGAGACACCATCCGATGCGTTGTTGGTTGCATTACGTTATGTTATACCCATGAAGCGAAGGAGCTAAAAGGAAAGGGAGAAGACGGATGTACAACTCTTGCGGGTGCATCTGGGGGAGCTCGACCTTTGCTGTGTTTTGATAATCTTGTTTAATATCTCAAAGAACCAAGTAATAATGATGAGAGCTCGGCCGACTACGGAACCATTAGGTCGATACCTGGATTGCAAAGCTTTCTTTGTTGCTGTAATTCGTTTCTGTAACCAACCCCTTTGGACTGTGATAGGACATGTGTACACGAAAGATGTCCATGTCGGAACAGTCATCCGATCCCGACTTTGGGGGATCGGGATCGGGAGAGCTGATTGCCTCTATCTATTCGGGCCCACTGAGCCGATCAACTCCGCTGCGGCACTGCTATCTCGACCCCAAAAATTCAAGGTCAGGGCACAATTGGCACCTATGATTGGCTGTATGTCTTCCCCGCAAAGCTGTTCAAGGTTGCGATAGGCAGCTGGTGGTGCTGGTGACATGCTTATCGGGAGCAAAGCGACACCGGGACCCCCGATTTCACCACTCCCAAGGGCCCCCCGCAGCCCCTCACAAGCTCTCCGCCCGCGCAGCTTCGTCGCATTCTTAACCCGCGCCCACCCGACGTTCGCAGGTGTCCGGTGGTTGCTGGGAAGGTACAATATCTGTAGGCAGAAAGTGGCAGGGAACAATTTCCGTGTCTCACGACTCGTCCAAATTCTTTTCCCATTACGTTTCCTGACGTTACAAAAAACTTAATAGCCAGTCGGTTCGCCGTCTGCTCTCTTCTTCCCCGAGTGTAACCTGCTCTCCCGTCTTCTGCGAACCAATTGCCCATCACCCATACAACACATCGCTCACAGCTCATCACTTTGTTCTGCGTGTGTGTGTGCCTCGCCATCCTGTCACGCCCAATCCGGTAGAGAAGACTGTTCACACAGCACAGCACCAAGCTGTCATATCTGCCCATCATGGCGTCCACACGAGCAACTGGGCTTCTCAACTCCCAGCTTCGAAGCTCTTCCCGCATCACATCCCTTGGACGCAGCGTCTCTGCAGTTCCGACCACCAGACTCACAACACGCCTGTCCGCTCCTGCGACGAGGACGTCCACCAGAATGGCGACGTTTGCTGCCTTTAAGATCCCCAAGATCTCCAACGAGCCCAACGTAGGTTACAACGCCGGATAAAGCTTGGTGAGGGAGCTTGGTGAGGAGGCGCTTGACTGACAATTACCACAGCACCACTATGCCAAGGGCTCCGCCCAGCGTGAAGGCTTGGATGCCGCAGTAAAGACCCTTCAGAGCAAGCTGCCTTTGGAGGTGCCAATCGTTGTTGGCGGTAAAGAGGTAAGTCGAGCCTACACATCTCTACAGCTCTCAATCCGACCATGTAAAGCTAATAATGTCCCCTAGATCTTGACGGGCGACACCGGAAAGCAGGTCAACCCCGCCGACCACGACACCACCGTAGCAACATACCACCAGGCCTCGCCCTCCGACGTCACAAAGGCAATCGACTCGGCTCTCGCAGCCAAGCCCGCCTGGGAGTCCCTCCCCTTTGCCGACCGCGCCGCCATCTTCCTCAAGGCCGCCGACCTCATCGCCACCAAATACCGCTACGACATCATGGCCGCCACCATGATCGGCCAGGGCAAGAACGCGTGGCAAGCCGAGATCGACGCCGCGGCCGAGCTGGCCGACTTCCTGCGTTTCAACGTTCAGTACGCCGAGGAGCTCTACGCCCAGCAGCCGCAGCACAACAGCCCCGGCGTCTGGAACCGCGTAGAGTACAGGGCCCTCGAGGGCTTTGTCTACGCCGTCAGCCCCTTCAACTTCACCGCTATCGCTGGTAACCTCCCCGGTGCCCCCGCGCTGCTCGGCAACGTCGTCGTCTGGAAACCGAGTGACTTTGCCATTGCCTCCAACTGGCTCGTCTACAACATCCTCCTCGAGGCCGGCCTGCCCCGTGATGTCATTCAGTTCGTGCCCGGCAACCCCGAGGAGATTACGAACCAGGTGCTGTCGCATAAGAAATTCGCGTCCCTCCACTACACTGGAAGCACTGCTATCTTCCGCAAGCTGTACGGTGCCATCGGCCAGGGCGTTGCCGAGGGCCGGTACGCATCGTACCCGCGTATCGTCGGTGAAACGGGCGGCAAGAACTTCCACCTTGTCCACCCGAGCGCCGACGTCGACAACGCCGTGAAGCAGACCATCCGTGGCGCGTTCGAGTTCCAGGGCCAAAAGTGCAGCGCCACATCGAGGGCGTACGTTCCCAAGTCGCTGTGGCCGCAGTTCAAGGAGGGTCTCATTGCCGAGGTGAACAAGATCAAGATTGGTGACCCGACGGACCACGGCAACTTCATGGGTCCCGTCATTCACGACGCCTCGTTCAAGAAGCTGTCGGGTGTCATTGATGCTGCCAAGAGCGATTCATCTCTCGAGCTCGTTGCGGGCGGCAAGTACGATTCGTCAAAGGGCTACTTTGTCCACCCGACAATCTACCACACCACGGATGCGAACCACAAGCTCCTGAGCACCGAGCTCTTCGGTCCCGTGCTCGTCATCCACACCTACGACGACGCCTCGGCACCAGCGGACGCCTTTGCCAACGTGTGCGAGCTGATTGACGGCACGGGCGAGTACGGCCTCACGGGCGCCGTGTTCGCGCAGGACCGCGCCGCGGTGGTGGTGGCGGAGGAGAAGCTGCGCAACGCGGCGGGCAACTTTTACATCAACTGCAAGAGCACGGGCGCCGTGGTGGGCCAGCAGCCGTTTGGCGGCGGCCGGGCGAGCGGGACGAACGACAAGGCGGGCAGCCAGAACTTGCTGAGCCGGTTTGTGAGCTTGAGGAGTATCAAGGAGGAGTTTGCGGCCACGACCAAGGTTGCGTACCCGAGTAACGAGGTTTAAAATGGTGTCATTGTGGAGGGGAAGAGATGTAGGTTGTGATGGAGTCTTTTCCTTTACGGTTCTGTCAATTTTGGGCGACGGTATGGGATATCTGGGTTCTTTTGACACTCGTCACGACATGAGTGAAGCATTTACGAGCATTTTCTACGGTCTAAAATGAAAATATCGAGTCTCTTTAATCAGCACACCTCAATGAGATAAAACAACCCTAGGTCGCATCAAGTCCAACTTCCCGGACGTGTGGTGATGTGGCGGCTCTGGTGCTGTCTGGCCTAAGCATGATTGCTTCTCAGGTCCGGTGTAAGTGAAACAATTGTGCCGTCAACTTGACCCAGGAAGCTCAATAAAGGCATCCGATCGAGCTCTTATTCTCGAAAGGCTATACTGAACTGTCACGTGCGCGTTCGTGAACTCAAGAAAACGGGTGAACGTCGCAAAGATGGAGGTGGAGGGGCGGTGACATGAACCAAGCTTCTTGCTGGATCTCCCCCACCAATGTATAGCACGCAGCGGGTCAAGGGTTTGGTTTCCGGCCGCTAGCCCCAAGTTGGGTGCTTGGAGAACGGCCATCTGGCGTATGTATGTACATAAAGCTGCCGGTTGGCTCCTCTTTTATAGAGTTTCTGGGTCCCCGGTCTTCCCTGTTTATGCCTGCTTACCTCTCACTACACTTGAAGCAGAAGGAGAAGGAGGGATGATGGAGCGGAGGCCGTGGGAGGGATAGAAGACAGAAAGAGGGAATCCGGATCATGACCTGAGGTAGCTGGCGGCTATGCGGCTCACTCTGGACGTAAGGGCACGCAGGGTAGCTTTTGCGCATCGTTTGGGGAATTTCCCTCATAGAAGATGCGGTAGGCGGCCTCTTTTTCTGCATTTGACTATTCCGGTACAGGCTGAGGCAATTATGGAATTCGCACGAAGATGGGAGTCGAAATTGGGATATCCCGCGATACGGGCGATGGGTCAACGGGGAATTTACTGTGTACGCCGCCCGAGTCGGAGTGTGGGAGGTTCATCAACAGAGCGCGCGTGCGAGTGAGTGGGCGAACTCACGTGGTCGTAGGGGTGGAAAAGATGTGAAGGGCCAACTTTGAAGGAGAAGAGTTGCCCACGTGCTCACTTTACAAGAGGACAGGGGCCCGGTTCGTCATCGGTGCAGTATAGCTACTTCGTAGGGACGGATAGGTCGTGTGTGTGTGTGTGTGTGTGTGTATACGAGTCGAGTAGGCCCAAACCCTCCTTTCAGCTCTGCGAATCAACCTCAAACACCGGGACGTCAGCTCCATCAATGACAGATACAGACAAGAGGCACGTTTTGCCCGGGCACGCGAGGCTGGGGAAGAAAGGTGGGATTTCCCACGGGTTCCGGGACGTCTCGTACAAGTGCACGGAAACGCGGCTCACTGGTGAAGGACCCGGTGGTGTAAGAGCGAGCCGGTGAGTTTTTCTTTCGACCAACGGTACGTTGAGCACATGTCTCGTGCCTCTCTCTGGATTCCTCAATTCGACCCCAAAGACGAAGTCGCAATCGGAAACTAAGCTTCATAGACCCGCTGCAACGCCTACCCTCGTACCTCTTGTCCTTGGACTAAGAGACATCCACAGGTTGTAGCGTAAGTAGGTAGGTAGGCATGGCCTTGGCAGCTGTGGGAGAGAATTACCGACCATCTCATTTGACCAGCCAGCTTCTCTACTGCGTCCACCGGGAGTGTGAGCTCGTGCGTCTTGGAGGGAGGGTTCTGGTTCTCATCTGAAATCTGAAGGGGGAGTGTGTAAGAGTGAACCTTGCGTGCGGGCGCTCGGCTTGGCGCCGGGGGAGCAATTGCTCAGTTGCCATTCAGGAACACCATGTGCTCGAATCCGCCTCTCTGATTGGCTCGACGCCATTGAACCCTCGATGCCCTCTCGTGCCCGTTTCCTCGCCCAGGAGTCCATGTCCGCCCTCTTGATTGGACCATCTTCTTCTCTTTCTGCTCTCTGGTCTCTTTTCGTTCGTCTTATTCTTTTTTTTCCTCTCCCCCAGGCTGTATGTATCTCTTGCGTCCACTTTGCGTTACTCTCCCGGCTTGTGTTTCCGGGGGTTTTCCCTTTGGGAGAGACCCTTTCCTTTCTGGCCTGGGGGGGATGTCGCGTGCCCTCTGTCCTCCAAGCTAGTTCGTCGAGCAAAAGCACCCCTCCTTCTCTTGCTTTAGGTACTTCCATCAGGGTTCTTGACACTATGCCGGGAGAAAGCACCACCCTCCCCGGCCATTATGAGGAAGAGGGGGGGCGTGGGTGGCTAGACGGCTGCTAAGAGGCTGACGGCTATCTGAGGCGAGCGAGTGCCTTGATAGATTGCCAGCTACGGATACACGGGTCCGGGGGTTTGTAGTCAGATAGAGAACAGACAGGCGAGGCACGAGAGACAATAAGGACGAACAAGGCCAAGGATGGCGAAGAGAGAAAAGTGAGAGAGTCAGTCCAAGGTCGTGGTGGTCGTGCGCCGTATCTGTAGTTCATTACCTTTACTCTCTCTCTCTCTCTGCCTTCTTCCCCCTTCTACATCCTCCTACGAACCTTTTCTTCTTCCACGAGAAAGCCCCCCCCAGCTACCTCTACTTTCGAGACTCGCGTGCCTCTTTCTCACTCTCGAGTCCCAGTTCGGGTCTGAACCTGTGCCAGCGAATCGGATTTGCATCCCTTCTGGTAGACACCTCGCATCAACCGGGGGCGCTTCTGCATCTGTCGCCACGCCCAGAACAGCTCTGGTGCTGCTACACCGACCGTCGTCTTTTGCCCGCGGGCACAGCCTCAAAACCAGACGTCAACCGAACTTGTCCCTCAGCGGTAGAGCCTCGAGAATTTCCCTCAAACTTCGGCTTCCCGTTCTCAATCTAGCTCCTGTCCGGTTGGGGGAATCTCTGTTCGTGTTAATCGCTCAGAGTCCGCTCATACCTTTCGTCGTCTTCCTCTCGTGTTGGCCGTCTCTCGCTCACAACTCACACGCACAAACGCACATCACACACAATGCCGCGTCCAACATTATTACCCACGCCCGCGTCCTCCACGGACATAAAGGGCCAAGACGGCTCCAAGGGCCTCGCCTCCCTCCAGCTATCCTTCGAACTGCCGCCGCCCGCAATCGTCCAGGACGCCTCGAGGGTCTCCCCAAAAGACACGAGAAGGACGTCGCCGGCCAACACCAACAGCTTTCAGCCCATTTCGCCCCCCCACGTCAGCGCGAACAAGCCGTACCCGGTCCAGCCCAGCGAGACCGTGAAGTCTCGCCGGCGCTCTTCGGCTGCCCAAAAGACGGCGGCCGCTGCTTCCAACGAGAGCTTCGCGCTGCCGCCGCCGCCGACCAGGTCACGCAAGATTATCCAGATGAAGCCGCGCGCTCAACAGCAGAACGAGGCCGAGGCCGAGGCCAAGGGCAAGGCCAAGGATAAGGACGCCCCGTCGGCGGCTGCCGGTGCCAAGTCCGGAGCTGCGGGTCCAGGGAAGGCTGGCTCGGCGGCGGCGAATGGGTCGTCCTCATCCTCCGCTTCCGCGGCGCAGGGCAAGAAGAAGGCGCCGTCGGCGACGAGCGCGGCGGGACGCAAGATTGCGAGGAAGACGGCGCACAGCTTGATCGAGCGGCGCCGGAGATCGAAAATGAATGAGGAGTTCGCCGTGCTCAAGGGCATGATTCCGGCTTGCACCGGGGAAATGCACAAGCTGGCAATCTTACAGGTTAGTCGGGGGAACCCACTCAAATTTCGTCCGTTGCCGGTTCGCTAATCAGCACGAAATGGGTTCAGGCATCAATCGAATACGTGAGGTACCTCGAGGACTGCGTCGCCAAGCTCAAAGCCCAACGCGACGCCTCCGAGGCCCGTTCACCCGCCGAGTCCGGCCTGCAGACGCCTTCCGGCGGGGGTAGCCGCGCCGAGCCGTGGGGCCAAATCCCGCAATTCGTGCCGCGATACCAAGAAGATCCGGACGATGTGGAGATGACCGACTCCGAGGCCCCGTCGCCCACTTTTCCGCCTACGCAGCAGCAACAGCAGCAGCTATATCCGCAACAACAGCAGCAACAGCAACTTCCTCATACCCGCTCCCAACAGCCGTCCGTATCGCCCGCCCTCTTACCGCAGGACTCGAGGCACCGGCAAGACTCCTACTCGTCCGTCTCGACGGACCACCCGCGCCATAATAGCTACAGCTACAGCACGTCGACGACGACATCACCCGCGTTTGGGCCGCAGACGTACGGCGGCGGGTACGGCAGCCTTTCGGCGCTGACGAGTCCCGCGCTGGCGCCGCAGCGGGATCGCGATCTGGACCACGAGGCGACGGCTGCATTGTTGATGCTGAATAGCGATCGGAGGGGGACGGTTGGGGAGGCGAGTGGCAGCGGTGCTGGTGCTGGTGCTGGTGGCATTGCGAATCCGACGAGAGGTGCTGGGCGGGGGATGTCGGTTCGGGATCTGCTCAGTACTTGAGGGAAACTCATTCATTATCGGACGAGAAAGGAAGATGGCTGGAAACGTGGTGCTGTTTTCGGTTTTCATCATTCCATACCCGGGAGAAAGACCCTGGCGGAACCGACGCTTCGACGTCAGACGAGCATGAGATTTGCGAAATGTGGTTTGGGGCCTTTCTATGTTGCGTTGGTCGAGAAGCCATCGCATGAACGCGGAGAAAACAAAATGGGACGGAGAGGTTCTAGAATCCTCAACAACATGGGAATCACAGTCAAAGCTCTACAGGGGGCTAAAATTCTCCATCTCCAATGCGATGAGAGGAAAGGCACGACTTTTTTTTCCCCCCACAGTTGCAGAAATACAGTGACGGACACTTGGGATGGAGTTGCGGCGGTTTTAGGCGTGGCGTATAGGGAACGTCACTGCATTGAAAACGGATGAATGTATACCTAGAAGGGATTAATAGAACAACTGGTCGGACAACCAAACTCAGTTTCCGCATCTATGCATGATCCTCCCCGCGTTCTGACGGGTTTGAGGGGGGTTCTGACAAAC